TGTGCGTCAAGAACGACAAGCTGGTACGAGGTGACTAGAACGTGGAATTCCGAGTCACGGTTATAGGTGATGTGCTTGCGATCCCAAAACTTTCGCAGAATCTTGCGATCCTTCGCATTACCCCAGTAGGGAAGCACCTTGATGTTCGGAACGAACCTCGTGATCTCCTGTTGCCAGTTGTGCAAGGTGGATGCTGGCGCGATGACCAAGAAAGGACCCCAGATGTTGTGCACCTCAGCCAAGTAAGCCATCACAGAAATGGACTGGATGGTTTTACCCAGACCCATCTCATCTGCTAGGATACCGTTGATGCCCTGCTCGTACAAGTTGACAAGCCAGTTGAGACCTTTAAGCTGGTACTCTTTGAGCTGGGCATTCAACATAGTCGGCTGTGAAATCTCAATGTCCCCCAGACTGGTCGGGTTCTGGAAGTTCATCTCTCCGTCGTCGAATGCGGCCATATTGTTACCCTCTCCTTGGGTGTTGAAGGCACGGGCCCGGTCCTGGGCTTCTTTCACCGCGTTCTGCGCGTTAACCATGGCAGCCTGTTGCAGCACGGTTTCATCTTCCGCATCGAAGTCAAGATCCTCGAATGCAGTGGTCTTGGCGTTGGGGTTGGCCACACTGTCTGGAAGATTGATTGTGTGGGCGTTTGGCTCGCCTGGTTGAACAGTCTCCCCGGTAGCAGCAACAGCGCCGTCTCCTTGAGCTTCGTCGGTCTTGATCTTGCGCCCGATGAAGTGAGAGTACAGTTCTGTTTGTGAGATAAGGAAGTTGAGCTTGCGCTTCTGTCGGTTGGCTTCGCGGTCCGCCTCGGCCTTCTTGGCTGATTCCAGCTCCTGCTTCTCAGCCACACGGCGCAAGTCGCGTTCCTCGCGCTCGTTGCGCTTCCAGAAAGACATCATTTCACGCATCGTCCGCTTGGCACGAGCTTGGGTATCCTTGGTGCTCTTGTTCGTGCGCTCTTGCCACTTGCGGGACTGCTTGCTGGCTAGCTGAGCCGTCTTACGCAAATTCTCCTGGCGGGTGGAGAGAGATGTGGTCTTGATGCGGTAGACCTTTGGAATGTCCTTGCGTGCGATGTCGCGCCAAATCTGCTCGTAGATCTGGTTGTAGCCCTTGCTGTCGTAGTGTAGCTGCGACATGGGGGTGCCCTCCTTTGAACGTCGAGCATCCTTTCTTGCACTTGGGGTGAGATACAGGTCGTCATCCAACCCAGCATTCCAAGCAGCCTCGGCGAGATCCTTCTCGGCCTGCTTCTGCTCCTTGGACTTCTTAGGACGAGTGACAGGACCGGCGCGGCCTGACCTGCGTCGGCTGGGCGAGGAACGGCCGATATGGAATTGACTTGTCGTTCCACCTTCGAGGTTGGGAGCAAGCGGGGTGACCTCGCCGAGCTCATCCTGGCCATCACCGCCCTCCAGAGCGCGCTTGGTGGTGCGGATTTTCTTCTGCGCCCGCTCGGCTTCGCGCAGGAACTTGGCTCTTTCTCCGGGTTCCTGGGCCTTGCTTGCCTTGCGCTCAGCCTCCAGCTTCTTTTGCATCTCTTGGCGCACAGTGTTCTCGCGACGGCGCTTGCGTTGCATGTCCTTCTTCCGTTCCTTCTCATCCTGAATCTCCTTCTGTTGAACTTCGGCCATGACAGCACCCTCGTTGAGCACTCGGAATCTTTCAGTGCCAAGAATGGCTTGTCTTTCGAATGATCGACCTAGATCGATGAGGAACTCGTTGCGGCGACGCTGAGCAGATGTTAATATGAGCGATTGGCTGGACATCCAAGGACCTTTCGACAACCTACCTTTCGTCGCACTTCCTCTGCACGGCTGCTTTCCACCGACCGTTTGTAACCTTTCTCCCGATACCGGTCCTGTTCCGCGTCGAAGCTAGGATCTTCTACATCGCTCTTTTCGGCGTGATCGATCTCGGCCACCGCCCGGTTGACCTGCTCCAGGTCCACACCGGGCGGTAAGGGTTTCCGAAGCGGTGCACGCGCAACGGGCGCAGGGTGTTCCGCATCGGGCTTCCCGAACCCATTGGTGGTCTGTGGTGCTCTCGGGGCATCGATGCGTTTCTCAAAGTCTAATCCGTGCTCGTGTCGGTGATGGATAGCTGCGGGCGTCGAGCTGTGATCTAGGTGCCGGTGTGTAAAGATGGGGGGTGCATGCGGTGTGTGGACGGAGATGGGGGCCGGGAGAGGCGATGGTTTTCTCGCAGGCTGATCGTCCGACGGGCCTGAAAGAATACTGGCGAAAGACATGGGGTCTGCGGCTCGGGCGGGCTTCTGTGATGCCAGGATGAGTCAGTCAATCTTAGTCTGTTGAGGGGTCCAGGTCACGCCTACCGCTTCCTGCGGCGAGGCCGGTCTCGGCTCCCGCACCATCGATGGTCCATAACCCGCACCATTACCTCGCATCCGATACGGGGATTCAGACTCCATAGTAGGAGATTGCGAATGTTCTGGGCGGCTGGGCGGATGACCATGGGGTGTCGCAGGGCCGTACGGCGAGGCACCGTTGCCTGTGATCACGGAGCTGGAGTAAGGGCGCGGAAGCGGTAGCTGAGAACCAGCCGAATGGCCCTGGTACTGCGAGGGCTCTGGATGAGACGGGTGAGGTGGCGCACTCCCATTCAAGGGTGGCGGCAATGTAGATGGCATCGGGGACGCGTGTGAAAAGTGTGGGCTTCGCGCGACGGGGGATGGACCAAATGCCGGTGGGGTCTGCGGAGGATGCTGGTGATATTGCTGCGGCGGTTGCGGTTGCGGTTGCGGTTGCGGTTGCTCACTGCTTGGGTAATACTGATGATTTTTATTTGGAGAGGTGTAGGCCGGATACCGCTGCTGCTGAGTCGGGGACTGGGCATTGAATGGCGGAGGGCCCGTCATGATGGCCGCGGTCCCCGGTTACGGTCGAGCGCGTCGAAGGTTGGTCACTCGGGTCGCGCTAGAATCGGTTGGGGGGGGGGGGGGGGGGGAAAGAATTGAGGAAACAGAGTCCAAGATTCCCGGCTCAGAGACACCTGTCAAGGGGGTTCCGTCTAGTGACGCGGCGTCAGTTGGTTTCAGGTTCTCTGTTTCGGAGCGAAGAAAGATGAATGAGAGAGATGAAGGAAGCAAGCAAGAGCTAAATACCTGATGGGGAAGATGAATTCGTTTGTGGTGGGAAGATGCAGAAGGGAAGTTTCCGTGGAGCCCAAGAAAGAGAATGCGCGGGCCTAGGCGAGCTGATGCAGGGGCGATGGGGATCAGGATGAGAAGGGGAGATCTGGGGAGAAGAAATAAACTGAAGTTGAAAGTTGAAATGGACGGGAAATACAAATTCGTCAAAGGCAAAAAGGGAAGAAAAAAAATGGTTGACGAGATTGGGCATTTCTCATGAATCTCTCTTCCTTGTCTGGGGTATTTCATCTCCGGCATCCCGGGGGTTAGATCCGACCAAGTTGTTTACAATGTAAAGAATTCATTTTTATCTTCTAGATGAACTGTCTTGAATGATTTCATGTTCTCTATCCTTTACATTTTCTGGCTGGGGCGATCAATCCAAGGTGGTGCTCCGATCTCCCTTAAGAGTCCATACACCATACACCCACGTCGTGGATCACAGAGGTCATGAGGCACCCCCATCAACGTGCGATTGTTTTTTTTTTTGGTTTGGGAGGGGGGGAAAACAAAACACTCCAAATGAAATACTGTCTACGGAGTAATGTTGTCCAAAATTTCGAGTTCGTAGGGTTTTTTTTTTGTCGAAAGAAAGAGAGCTCTTTCGTGTTCTCGCTTCCCGTCCGATTTGACTTGAAATCTGGCCGAGTTTTTCGTGACATCGACCTGTTCACCTTTTCTGTAGAGACCAGTTTAACATTTTAACATTTGCAGATATTGAATTCAACTACGGAGTACTCCGTACAGATGGATGATTATCATTCGATCCCTGTCAACCAGATTTTCAGAGCTTAGGTGAACTGGTAGGTGGGATCTCCTACCTATAACAATATCACTAGAATTTTTCCAATCGGGTAGAATCGCTTGGATGAGGTCTCCTCCCTCGATGACTCTCTAAGCACCATCTATGCTTATAACCTCAACCCTCCAATAAGAATTCAACCTATTTTAGACCTTGAGTGCAGATCGATATAGCATCAACCTTGGGAGAATCAATCTCAAAAGCTCTGGATAATGCATAGCCTTAGCTCAAACCGATCTCCGATCAATCGTGCATGACGTTCCCCTAACGAACGGGAAAAACCCGCATGGCTAGGAGATCCCTTTGTACTATTTGTACTCCGTAGAAATTTCCCCCTTGTGTTTAAATCTGTGAATTAACAAACTAACGACGATAGCATTCACCGGTGAAGCAAAACCAAAATATCTCTCAATCACTCGCGTGGCCTGATGTTGATGACGTCGACTTGGAATGGTACAATCACCGGATCTCCTGTTATCTTGGTCTTCCGTTTCCAATGGTTTCGACTATTCTGTTACCGAAGGACCCGTTGGATTTTTAGAAAGACCAATGACCTGATAGCCATCAAGGGAATTGTTTTTTGTTTTTTTTTATTTTTACCCTCTGTTTGATCGGCGATGATGTAGTAATAGAGACTAGAATTCGGTTCAGCCCAATGAAACAAAGGTCAAAATAGCCGGGGTCTGCATATTGTGTTTTAGTGCTATATACCGCATAAGGAAGTTGAAGTGGATACTCATGGTACTGAACTAGTATATCGGTAATATCTACGACGATTCTAAAGGTTATTGACAGGAATTACACCGGAGATCCTAAAACTTACCCGCACGGAATCTCGGCTGGATTCCCTGATGTTTGAAAGAGGCCACTGTTCTGATCAGGCAATCCGCTTAGCTACTACAACATATAAGAAGACAGGGTCTCTCAATCGTAGAACATAACTCTCCGTGTTACATTATCTTTTTGATCACATCCCAAAACACTGGTCATTCTTTTTTTGACCTGCACCCGCTGATTATTTCTTACTCTTAAATCTACAACATGTCGTCCTTTACGATCCCCGAGACCCAGTGGGCCCAAGTCATCGAACAACCCGGCGCATCCCCCGTGTACAAGCAAATTCCCGTCCCTAAGCCTGGCCCCGATGAAGTCCTCGTGAAGATCAGGTACACCGGTGTCTGCCACACCGACCTCCACGCCATGAACGGCGACTGGCCCATGCCCGTGAAGAAGAACCTAGTCGGTGGCCACGAAGGCGCCGGTGTCGTTGTCGCAACGGGCTCTCTCGTCAAGGGAATTGAAGTCGGCGATCACGCCGGCATCAAATGGTTGAACGGCTCCTGTCTCTCATGCGAGTACTGCAAAACCTCCGATGAGCCGTTGTGTCCCGATGCCCAGCTGTCCGGATACACGGTTGACGGCACCTTCCAGCAGTACGCAATTGGTAAGGCGGCGCATGTATTGAAGTTGTCCAAGGACATCCCACTTGACACGATTTCGCCTATCCTGTGCGCTGGTATCACTGTCTACAAGGCTCTCAAGGAGTCCGGTGTGCGTCCTGGTCAGACGGTTGCGATTGTTGGTGCTGGTGGTGGTCTTGGCTCGCTTGGACAGCAGTATGCTAAAGCAATGGGCTTGCGTGTGATTGCTATTGATGGTGGCGAGGAGAAGAAAGCCATGTGTCTACAGCTGGGAGCAGAGGTATGTGTTTCTTGTCGGTTTGGTTTGGTTTTCGATTTCCTGTTGGCGGCCTTACTAATCCGGTGTCCAGACCTACGTCGACTTCACCAAGTCTACCGACGTCATTGCAGATGTCAAGGCTGCCACCCCCGGTGGCCTAGGTGCCCACGCCGTGCTCTTGCTTGCTGTCGCTGAGAAGCCTTTCCAGCAAGCTGTCGAATACGCTCGCTCGCGTGGTACCATTGTCGCCATTGGCCTTCCCGCCAATGCATTCCTCAAGGCCCCTGTTTTCGAAACCGTGGTCAGGATGATCAACATCAAGGGCAGCTACGTCGGTAACCGCCAGGATGGCGAGGAGGCCGTTGAATTCTTTGCGCGTGGCTTGATCAACGCTCCTTTCAAGACTGTTCCTCTGAAGGAGCTACCTGAGGTCTTTGAGCTCATGAGTAAGTTGGGAGATTTCCCTGATCACTGGAGATTGACCCAAGGCTAATACATGCAACACAGAGCAAGGCAAGATCGCTGGCCGCTACGTCCTCGAGGTCCCTGAATAGATGAATCATCGTCTATGCATAGAGTCTGATCGAGACTTGGGGGAGAGATTGCTTTTGAGAAACGAAGATGAAACGAAGTGATATCCATAGCGAGGATTTTTTTTTTCCTTTTTAGCCCTGGTGTTAGGGTGAATTAGTCATAATTGAGAGAACAATACGAAAGTTTGAAAATTCAAATCTCCAGTGTCTCCCTAGCTGATCGGGTAGTCAGTGGGCACAAGCATAAGAACTTGATCTATCGACATGAACAACAGAGAGCATACCAGTCCCAATGTCCCACCAACAAAATGAAAGGGTCAAGGTCTACACAATTTCTTCCCGACTATTTAGAATCCTGCTCCAAAGTTTTTCCCTCATCCTCAGGACTAACAGTAGTCTGAGGTCCCCTATACGTCTTCCTAGCATGAACATAATAATAAATCACCGCCCCAAGCCAAAGACTCCCATTAATAACAGCCGTATAATTCATTGTTTGGGCTTCACCAAGTCAGCAAGAGCGCCCGTAATAGTAAATAGCATAGGTCAAACTCACGCGACGGATTCGGCCCCTCAGTAGGTATCATCGTAAGAACAATAACAAACGTCATATAGATGACAGAAACCCACCCAATGGGCTTACTCAAATGCTTCCCCGTATAAAACTCACCAGGAATAAATCTATCACCTCCCCAGAGCAGACGCGCCAGGATAGGTGTGAGCCAGGCGAGATCGTTGCCGGCTACGGCAAGCGAAAAGAGGGCGCTGGAGGCAGCTTCGTCGATCAGACAGAGGAGGCCGATCAGTACCGATGCGGCGACTATGCCGCACACCATGCGGACTGGCTGGTAGCGTATGAGTTTGCGCTGGCTTACTTTGCGGAAGAAGGAGGATAGGGGGAGGGCGCCGTCGCGGGAGAAGGCCCAGCTTTGGCGCGAGGCGGCTAGGACCTACGAGGGAAGAGTTATTGGATGGGTTCTGGGATTTGGATAAAGTTGGTAGGTGGTGAGACGGAGCCTTACAATGCTCAGTCCCATGAAGAATTGGACGATCATCACCACGACCATGAATCCCATGGCACCATTTTTGCCAAGGGCGTCGTAGTAGATCTATAGAGAATCCACATTAGAAAAATGGGCTCCAACGTGTAAACAGAAAAAGCATGACCAACACAAACCTGAGTCATGGGCTGTCCGAATTTGGAGTTCAAGATCCCCTCCATATTCCTATCCATCGCAGACGCAATAACCGCCAGCGAAACAAACCCAAGCAGACCACAGAGTCCAGCAGACGAGATAATCCCCAACGGTACAGCGCGCGCAGCATGTGTCGCCTCCTCGCTCATATGCACGCAAGAATCAAACGCGCCAATCGTCCAGATCGGCGATAGCCACGCCATGATAAATGCCCAGCCAGTGGGCCAGGTAGTGAGGTTCTCCATATCACCGAAGACATACGAGCCCGGGTTGACTGGCGGACTGTTCTTTGCTTTGCCAAGGGGAAGAGCGATGACGGTTGCTATCACGAGAGTGATGTTGAGAAAGATACAGGCGGATTGGATTCTGGGCATCATTCGGGCGAAGAAGATGGCGATGAAGCCGTGAGCGAAGACTGTTGCTGCGTATGTGCCGTAGATGACGGGGCGTGTTGCGGACCAATTTCCGTCGCGGGCGAGGGAGATTACGGAGAGGAGCATGCTAGCGAATCCATCTGATGAGAGAAGTATTAGTTAGGGAGGTTAGTTTGGTGTTTGGAAATGGGTTGGCTTGCAGTCAATAGAGCAGATGCCGCCGATCAAACCGATGGTATTGCTATATCCGACGAGGAAACTCAGCGGGTTCTTCCATTTCTCAGATGCGAAGTAATGTGTCCAGAAGTAGAGGCCGCCTGCTGTGGGCATTGCGGATGCAATATCGGCCTGATGGCCATCAGTTCTGTCATGTTTAAGATGGAAGATTGATTGCAGCATACCATGGCCAAGCTCACGATGAAAATAAAACAACTTGCAACCAACCATCCTGTCCAAGGAACCTGTCAACAGTTGCAAGAGTTTTCCCCCTGAAAACATAGTTACATACCCTATCCATTCTGTCAGTCACATTTCCAATCATTTCAGCCTGCACAATGTTACCCAAACCATTCCCACAGGACCAGCGGGCATTGAAAACGATAACGTGGATGCAATGGAAGGCAAAAGCCCCATGATACTAAAAGCGACAGCAAAGATCTGGAGGGTCGAATAATGGCGTCGTAATTCCTGCTTGTACCCGAGTGTCGCTGTTTGATCGGTCAGTGACGATCTCATATGGTTGCACAAGGTCTGCCAGCGAGCCGCACGATATACAGACCTAGCAGCTCGGTATCTCCAGCCTGGGGTTGCAAGTCATGACCCGTGGCTGTTGATTGACGCCTCTTGCTCGTCTTGATTGCCACTTTCTCTAAGATATCATCCATGGTTATAGTACGTGTGTCATGCGTGTAGAGGGAATTAGTGGGTCAAATCCCGAATGGTCAGCTCATTCGAACGCGCGACACCTAATGGTCTTAAATGAAGACCGCGGGAGGGCAGAGAAAGATTTTTTTGGCTCTCGAATCATTTCCGATGGACGCTAGTCCTCTAACGAACGATGCAAGAGGCAGATAGGAGGTGCAGTAAGTGCCTATCTGTGCCATGTGCTCAAGGTCTAAGTATAGACAGTTAATTCCTTCTCTGATAGTAGATACAAAATAGCTCGATCTATCTGTAGCCAATCCGACCACACACAATCTTGCATATCTCTCTTTTCAAGGAAGATCAATTTGGATTAGTAACGGCTGGCAGAGCGGGGAAGTGCCTTGTAGGCAGATCGTACATCGTGTACTCTCGAAACGTTCTTCTGTCTCCTTTGGGGTTTATCCCTTGCTGCTTTTTGATCGCTGGGTAGAACCCAGCACGCCAAAGCTTAGGTTCGACAGAGTGCCTCTTGGGTAGATTTACCACGGTCCGCCAAAGAATTGATTCAAGGTTGAATGACCTTCTTCTCGGGTTGCTCCTCGAAATATAGTTGAAGCTGCTTCTGGCTGCCCGTCGCGGCCGCCTGTGTAGGGTTGGTTGCAGCCTTAGGAATGAACTGGAATTCGGTCATGGGGGAGTCAAAAGGAGGGCTACGAGGAGGAGAAGGAAACTGGAGGTGAGAGAGAGCCGGTCGCGTAGGCGCACACGTAGGATGGTCCAGGAATATTGAGGGATGCTTTCAGGACGCGCCAGGTGGCATCATTTCACCTGCGCGGAGTGTCTCTAGGGACAGTCGAGTCGGAACGTTCAGGATTCTGGATGTAAGGCTCCGCATCCTTGGCCGTCAGGTACAGGTCAGAATCCAAGCCAAGACCTTCGTAACATTTTCACAAGCCAATCTTTTCATCCTAAGATCGCTCCTTATATCTAAACTTAGTCCTCCTATTAATATTGATCTAGTAATTAGTTTAAGGTCTTTTTCTATAATGAAAAGACTAGACAATTCGTATGTTACTTTCTTATTTTTATAAATTCTTTGATTTTAAAGCTTTCTTAATTTGTAAATCTTAAGATGTAAACTTGTACAGAATGAGTCAAAAGTTTTAGCTTGATAATACAGTCTTAATCTATTAGTCTAGAATTTTTTTTTCGGAATCTTAGAAAAATACTCCGTACTGGGTTAAACTGACAGACGTTTTTAAGTAAGATTTTTTTTAGGTCTTTTGTTTTTTTGGGCGACGGGAAGCCACCGAGAGTTAAAAGGAAAGTCAAGTATCATCCTAACTTGAAACCCTGATCCCGTATCACTATCTGAAAATCAAAGTTTACAAATCTTTTGACTGGATAAATTGGTTAATCTAGTACTAACATTAACTAAATTGCTAAGCGATACCTTATAGGGGAGTGAGATATGGTTATTTGAAGATATTAAGTTTATGCATTTTGACAGAACTCTATGGTTGTAACCACGTTTAGGACGACCAATAGATAGGATAGGTATAAGAGATACTCTAAATTCTCTAACGAAAATGACAAAATCCGCTCTATTCCAATCTATGGGGATAACGCCAACTAACGTAATATCCAATTTACGTACCTATGATCAGGCCGTACAGTAAAATCAAGTGAAACAGGAGACATGCAAATCCATTTTGTGGCCCTTCATACCTGTAAGCCTAGCACCAGACCCCGTAGGCCGCACTATTATAGCAGTCTATAGATTTTTCCGGGTATTCTATCCTCTTTTTAAATATATATATTGTACCATCGGTTTCGACAGTCCAGCATGAGGATCTAACCAGGTTGATGACTACCAGGGCTTGGCAGGTGCAGAATAGTAGTGAGCAAGATTGATGAGGTGGTCGAGCGGTGGCCCTGCTGGTGGAAGTTGCGGGTGGAAAGGCGGCCGTTTCTGACGCCAGGGGCTGTCATTTTCGGTGGCGACTGCACAGATCTTTTTATTCTATATGTAAAATTTGCATAACGTGGGAGATAAGTGGGCAGTGCTCCTGACAGATGTTCGTAGTCAAATCCCACTTGCCAATTCAAGCTGGTTATGCCCGGGAAAAGACCTCCATAAAGCCCACAAAGCCCAAAGCCCAACCCAATCCAACCCGTAAATGGGCTGGGCTTTGGGCCCATTTATGGGCTTTGCGGGGGTCTACCGAGATTTGGGAGTACAAGTTGATCGACATTGTGGACATAAAAGCCTCGCAGCATGCATATATAGGTATCTAGCTTATACAAAGTGTGTTCTTGCAAAAATAAGGTTGAAGATAAGTGTGAACACCTTCAATTCTAAAACTCAACTAACAAACGATGAACCAATCATCTTTATGCCGCCGGTGTCTCCTGAATCTTCTTCAAATTGGATATTAACGGACATGGAGCTAACGAGGAAAAAGATACGTTCCTCTATCTGAGACCTAATAGCATATTTTAACACTCTTTCTTCGATTTCAAGAGCATTTCCGGAGGGACCCTACGTTGCTAATTTAGCTGAAACAAGTCCTGACCCCTCCCACATATTACCTGCCAATATTTTTGAACAAAAAGAGTGCATTCAACTGAAACACTGCGCACAGATATGGCTGCAGACGGCATGACCAGGCCGCTTAGGAAGATCATGTTTAGAGGGTAGATCACTCAGTTGGCACTTCATGTGCATAAAAGGCATGATTTCCGGCCTACCACTGAAATTAGTAGTCAGGAAAGTTGGTGATCTAGTTCTACATGGAGTAGATTGCTTCGCTTAGGCTTATTTCTGGCGACTACATGTTAGGGAATGAGCACTAAACGAGAAGGGAAAGCTATAGAGCGCGGCCTGGAATCCAGTGTATATGCGCTTTGAGAACCTCAATTTCCGCGACTCACTTTCACCCAGGTAGCTATCCGGTATAGCGGAAGATCACTGGGCATGAGCCCGTGCTGACATCTACCCCTGTAGAACATCGTTATTAAAGCGGCGGGAGACTAGGTAAGAAAGTCCCAGGAGTCCTATCTACACGAATGCATAACCGAAGCTGATATAGGGATCAGATGACTGATAAGATGGACATTGGCGTAAGTATGCCCCAAACAAGCATAGCGCCGCACATAATTCGAGGCTTGGCCTGCTCTGCGCAGATAGCTGTCGCTGATCCGAGTGGCCGATAAGACAGGAAGAGATAGGTATGCACGGGGTGTAGGGCGAAGCCTTTGCTTATCTTGGAGGGGGTTACGTCTGTTGAATCGCCTTGGACGGAGACATGGGTGTCATTGTTTCGTTTTAGACGTCTTACTATATCTCCGGGAGCTTTGACTGTCTTTCTCTTTAACGAGGTGAGATATCCCAAAGCTTGTGGGATAACTGGAAACGCCAAAGTGCGGAGAGACTCATTTTGATATCACTTTAACAGGAGATGTGAACTTCCTACTTGAGAATATCTTGTTCGCTTCTATAAGGGTTGGAGCTCAGATTTTACAAGCTCACATAAGCAGAGTTTGTGGGCGAAATACGAAATAAAAAAAGCAAAATATCAATATGAATGCAGATTCAAACAAGGCTAAATATACACTCAGATTTTTTTTTAAAAAAAAGAGTGATTACATCCTAAGTATCGTCAACTTAAACCGCACCAGGCCCAGGTCCCTTATGATTCGACTGATCTAGCAAAAGTGTGGGTTTGATGTAGTCCTCATCGAGCTGGCGGAACCAAGCCGCATGGTCGCCCGAAGCACCTCCCGAAAATAGACCCCGCACTGCGTCCCGTGCAGACATACCAGCTGGCTGGTGAGTGGGCGAGACGCTGGTCGATGCTGCGGCATTTGTAGGTAGGCCCGACGAAGGTTGAGGGGGTTGGGAGGCGGATCGGCGGAGACGCGAGGCTCCACCTGCAGCCGGTGGGAGATCGTCATCTGATATGCCTTCGATATCGAGATCAAAATCGTCTGGGTGAGTGGGATCGTTGGAGTGAACGGGGCCTGAGGGTGGGAGACCGAACTCGTCGTCGCTGCCCTCGCCGGCGCTCGGCCCAGCTGCGCTGTTAAGTAACGTCGCGGTGGATTGGCGGTCGCGCCAGGACTGATCTTTGTTGTTGTACGCGGCGGAGTACATTCTTGTGTGGGTATAGGGTGGGCTTGGGCGGCGACTGTTGCCGCTGGAGTAGCTATGTGCTCGCTCCCCGGGTTGAGCGCGTGGAGTGGCAGTGACGCCATCCAAGGGGATCGCCGAGTCGGCGCGTCGCGGAATATATCCCAGGCTCGTGTCAGAGCGTTTGTAGTAGGTGCCGCCATGGGTCACCTCGGTGTCAAATTCATCGTCCGAGTCGAGCTCTTCGACCACACCGGTTCGAATGCCCAGAATCTCCAACATGCGTGCTGTGGTTCCTCCGAAGATGATGACGGTTAGCACGACGACAACAAGTACTGTTGCACGAAGTGCAGGGGCGTTGACTCCTGATAGACCAGCTGCTAACGCAACACCGACGGCACCACGTAGTCCAGCCCAGAAGAGCATCGCTTGATAAGCGAATGGCAGCTCGTCGGGAACTTCAACGCCACGCCGGCGTGCCCGATACCGAATGAACCAATTGATAGCCTTGGAAAGCGGGAATACCGCGAGATAGCGAGAAAGACAGATACCAAACACCGCCATCATGATGAACAGGGGGTTGAACTGGAGGTTAGGCTCCACGAAGAGGTCAAGGCCGAGGTAAATAAAGATGAAGTTCTCTGAAAGTTGAGCCATCACTTGGAACAGGTACTTGGTAGTCAACTGCGTGCGACGCGACATGTTATAGTAAGCATAGTGCTTCAGGGTAATACCACAAAACAAGAGCGAGACGATGCCGGATAGATGTACGCCATTGGAGAAGAAGTAGCTGGCATATGCAACCAAAATGATCAAGCAGCTCTCGATCTTGGGCAAGCGCCGCACAAGAGTGTATTTGAGACCCAGCGCGGTAGCGATTCCAACCAGCATTCCGACGACCATGCTACCAAAGAAGACGAGCAAAAAGAGTCCCACAGCCTCGAATAAATTCAGGAAGGATAGAGAGCCAGCCGCGCCGGTCTCATGATACCGCTGTGCTGTCTCGAAAAGTACGATGGCAATGGCATCGTTCAGGATCGACTCGCCAAAAATGATAGTATAAAGCTTCGGTTCGACCTTATAGAGGTTGAAAATAGCTAGGATAGTGACCGGATCCGTGGCGGAGAGAGTTGCGCCAACCGAAATAGCTTCGACGAAAGAGATATTCAGCCCACTCAGTGGAATCCGTGTCCACAGGTACAGCACAAGACCGAGCACGATTGCGGATATAAAGGTACCGGCGAACGCGAACGTGAGAATCGTGCCGATATGTCGAAAGAAATTCGCCTGGTGGAGCTCATAACCAGAGGCGAGTATAATCGGAGGAAGGAGGAGATTGAAGAAGAATTGATAGTCGAAGGCGACGCTGTCTTGGAGGGTGGAGTCTGTGAAACGAATGAGCAGTCCAACGAACATCCCTGGCGACCGTTAGCACGTCCATGCCAATTTGCGCAGACCCCACGAAGCTTTGTGACTTTCGAGGTCGTGCCTCCGCCGCTATCAGATGTTGCCTACCTGCAAAAATTGATAGAACTGTCTCATGGACGGCTTGTATCTTCCTCTGCTGAAGGATGTAGCTCGTGAAGAGCGCGAACATCAACAACATGATCATGATAAACAATGCCCAAGAAGTTGTGATCTCCTTGGACCCTGCCTCGGTGGAATCTGCAATTCGCCATACTAGTTAAATCTCCGAGCTGAAAGCGCTATACGCCGACATGACGAGGTAGAAGGGATGAGGGGGTGAAGTTCAGGCACGCGTACCATCGGGATCGGAGTCTTCAGAGGCCCTCCCTATGACAAAGATAGATATGTTAGCCAGCAATCCAAACGAGAAATCCAAGCGCAGTGTTCAAGACCACCGCTCAGAGGGACATACGAAGCAGGGCGTGTAGGCCATCGTTCATAAATTGGCTAGCCATCGCGGCTCACGCCTTAGGAAGTATGAAGGGCCAGGGCGGATGGCTGGCAGTTCACTCCCACAGTGAAATTGAGATGGCAGGAGCAGACGCACATAGTCCACGAAGAGATGGAAAGCGAGAGGTTGCGACAAGATCGAATTGGGTTAGCAGTAATAATACGGACTGCCCGAGTTGCATCAGAGGGACAGATGTGGTCAGGTACGGAGGTGTACAGTACAGAATACGGCAGGGCTGGCGGGAGTCAAATTGGCAGGAAAACCGGAATAATACAGCAACTTCGTAAGATCGCTGCGTATTGGAGTTTGTTAATTACACGTGGGCCGAGTTTCGAGGTGCCGCGCAACTGCCAAGAAACCGGTGGATTCGGGCAAAATAGCTAGGAACAAAGGGTTGTCGATGTAGTGCAAGTGTGAAGTATAAATCATCATTGTTCCAAACTACGATATGATTGCCTTATAATGCTCTAGGGCTGCATAGATGGACCCACGTAGTTCGTGCGATAATCGCCATCCCCTACAGAATTCCTACATGAGATATGTTGAAGGGGCTTCGTACCTACCACACATACATGAAATCAATGAATGCATTGTGGCATCTACGTGTCCGAGTCTATCTTGATCCATCCGCAACCCTTCTAGTCAGCCACGCAGCCACCAACGCAGCACATCCACCAAACCGTAGTACCCAGCCTACACTATTATCCCACGGCTCCCCTCTTTGCTTCTGAGATGCCTTGAAGATAGCACTGCAAACAAGACTCGACAGGATCTGTGGCAGAGAGACTGCCATATTGTGCAGTCCAAGAATGATTCCTGCCTGTGCAACATCTCCACCATCACGATAATCCTTTGGACGTCCATGCTCAACATCACTGCCTCCGACGCTGGCATATCCTCCAGAACTCTCTTCCCGAGCCTCGCCGCCATGCTCGCTATGGGTGGACCGACCTGTGTAACGATGACTGCGTCTTGAGGGATCGATCCTAGCTACCTCCGCTGCGATAAGAGCGAAGGGGGCCCACAGCGCTACAGCCCAGGAGACACCGACAAAGCCCACAAACGCCGACCCGGCTTGGTGAGAGTAGATGAAGAAAGTGCTAAACATACACGCTGCGAAGAGGAGATGGGAGAGGAGCCAGACTCGCGGAAGAGTCAAGCCCGGGATATGCAGGCGTGAAAGCCAAGTCGGTTTCCCTTCGGTCTCTTGTGCAACTGGAGGTGCATCAAGCAGAGGCTCGGATGCATTGCCCGTCGGCATACTTGAAAATGACAGTCCCCTAGCAGCTTGCTCTGTATCGTCATCTGAATCGCTGCCTGGAGAATCCCATTGCGAAGCAGTGACTGGTGCCGGTCCATACAAGGGGACCACGAAAAGAGGAAGCAACATGTTGGCAAGGAAAGAGATGATAGCGTAGATGAGAAGAGCCAAAGTCCCAACGCGAGTAGCATCTTCCCAGGCCTTGTCGACCTCACCCTTGGAGAGATGGGGGTTATCTGCAAAAACGGGATTGACGTACAGCTGCCCGACATAGGTCGTGGAGTAGTACAGGAACGGGAACCAGCCCACCCATGCTGCGATCTGCACCTCACAGACGCGGGAAATCTGTGTTGGCAAACTCTGAATCGACTTGACAACCTGTTTAAAAAATGAGATCACGCCAAGCTTGTCAGTCACAGGCCCGTCTCCTCGGGGATCCCGCTCTTTGATGTAGACACAACTAGTGGCAAGAGTTGCGATCAGAAAGACCGAGGCGAGAACACACAGAACTTTGAACTGGGTATTTCCCAAGAAGGGGACAGTCTTCGGCAGGTCCATGTAGCCAAAAATATACCCGAAGATGTTGCCAATGCCAACCATGCGACTAGCCCAGGCGTTGGACAGCTCCTGTTGGTGGGTGGGACAGTTGTCAACAATAAATGCTCTGATTGCAGCTTGTACTATAAGATGACGATTAGCGAAGCAACCATAAACGTGAAGATACTGGAATGCGTACCAGTATTGATGGCAAAATCAAGGCAGTACATGAAAACTGTGGCCATGACGATGATAACAACCTTGGCTCCTGCTGATGTTGATTCAACACCGAAGATCGACAGAAAGCCTCCCACGAGCTCTTTCACCCATGCCAGAGCTAGCAATGAAACGATCGTTGCAGCGCCTCCGACGACCATGAACGGTTTCCTCTTACCCCACGCGAGTCGGCAGTTGTCGCTTCTAATACCGATGTATGGTTGTACCAGCGCACCAGTCAAGGGACCGGCGATCCAAACAAAGGCAAGAAGCGATTTGCTCATACCGAGGGATAGAAGGAATGGCTGTGCCCAGGTCAGCAGGGGCTTTTTTTTCTAATCCTACAGCTTCCAAGAGATGAATGGGGTGCAAATTTCAAATTGAATCATCTCTGGTAAGTCACGACTTATACTTACCGATCCATGGGAGAGTTCGACAGACCAAACAATCTGAAGTCTGTCAAAGAAACCAGATATCAATAAATGGCCAGCATAGAAGTCAAAAGCGACACATAATTAGAAACAAGTTTCCAATTGCAAAAATACTTACCCACCAATAGACAGAGTCAAAAGAAACATGTACAACGCATTCTTAGACGACTCATCTGCACCGGCAAGAGAGCCCCCAGCACGCCTGTCTGCAGAGCGAGTGGAAACCATGAGAGGCGAGCTCTCGTTGCTAGAACCAGAGGCAGACTTGTAATCCGAGTCTCCCATCAGAGAATTAACGGGTCAGGATCTCGATGTGTTGAATTGGCACCGACCAGGATTAACCCATGGAACTTGCTAGTGCGTGGTGGGATGTGGTTGGGGCTGCTTTGAGTTCCAGCTGCTGACTGTGGCTCAGCGTTCAGTTGAGGTGAGATATGCTTTTTTGATAGTATTTGCCGGGATCGGAGTTCCTCTTCATCCACTTGACAGTCGTTGTATTGGTGGTAGGTCTATGTAGACTATGGATTGTTGGAGTGTGGGAGATACTGTCGAAAAGATGGGGTCTATGCACGCATCGCTTGCCAGCGATTTAGCTATCTGAAAGAAGGTAAGACTTGACAGGGTATAGCCCTCCCGATCAAAGCGCGGTGTGTCAGATGGATGCCAAGCAGACCCCTTCATCACTGCAGGGTTGATCTACGTCAGCAACACGTGATGTACCAATAACAGGCCATGACAGCTCTTAATCATCACCTGGATACAAACAAGAGTATAAAGCAGCAAGGGAAGACTGGTTGGTATGAAATTTTCCATGTGTTTTTTCAGGTTCAATTCAAAGTCGTTACACAATGTCTCTGTCTATATATTGTGGTTCAAGGCGTCAAAATACCTGACCATTCCAAGCCGGTCTTCAGGGACAATGCCTGACAATCCAAGAAGAATCCAACCCAATCTTTCCCATCCCAACCCATTTCCCATTGAGAGATAATTGAACCTCTCTCGTACTTGTGCCCGTGCCGGCCAGGCAGCATCAAATGAATGTCTGCTAGTGCAGCCCAATTCACGTGCAGGGCAACCGACACCCAAAAATACACAGTGTTTCCTGTAACCATCGCACAGTCCGAAAAAAAAAACTAAAGAAAGCCCCCAAAAGAATCCAACAGAAAATGAACACAGTGTCAAAAGACAAGCAAAAACACAAAACGCGGGCTATACACGAATATCGCGGTATGTGCAAGGCCAACATTTGGCCGTGTGCGATTAAACAAGAGGCGAAATAAACCCCGATCCAAAAAAAGAGCGCATACATACGCCCTGAAGACTTAAGAAAGATGTGAGAATGGAAACCTTTGCGCGGAAAATATCCGTCAAAGGGTGCATGAGACGATGCATCTACTATACTGTGGTAGACACACCGTGCTCTGTATCATTCTCATATATGTTGTTGGAGAAGTTGCGGAGCGATCATGTGCGAAGTAGGCATGCCAGTCAGGGCGGACGGCATGCTCAAAGGAGCTGCCATCGACGTCATGCCTGGCATACTAATCATTGGATGAGCAGGTACCGGTGGGGACATCTCTTCTCTGGGGGAACCGAATTCATGTGCGTCATTCTCCAGATCTTCGTCGGTTGGGATAATTGTTTGACCATCCTGCTGTGCTTCATGAATCCGACGATGTCTAGCAAATATTAGTGTAAGCCCTAGAAGTTTCAGACTAATAACTACTTACTGCGCAAGATTATCGGACCTGGAGAAAGCTTTGCTGCAATAAGGGCAAGGGTACGGACGCTCTTGTGTGTGAGTTCTCACATGCCTAGAAACAGGGGTCAGTCGGCGGCTGTCGAAACAATCTCACCGGCGCACGGTGCAGATCAGCCCCACCAACGTGAGTGCAAAAATAGAAGTAAGCTTACCTTTTGAGGTGCTCCAATCTCTTGAATGTTCTACCACATGACGGGATAGGGCACGAATGGGCCTTGGTTGGGTACGGCCCTAACTCCATCATGGTTGCACTCCTGGCTCTCCGATTAGGACCAGGCGCCGAACGCTCAGACCGACCAGTAGAATTTTGGACCACAGTCTCTGCACTGCTGCTTGGTAGAGATGTCAGATCGTTTGATTGGATTGCCATGGAGCCTGGATGTTGTGCGGTGGTCTGATCCAGGTTCTGCAGCGGTGTGCCATGGCGGGACATTTCATGAAGAAGATCCTTCTGTGGCAGCATCGCACTGGGATACGTGCGAGCGAGCTCCTGGGTGGCTCCATCTCCCTCTGCGACCGGAGCGACTGAGCTAGAAACCGAACGCCGCAGATCACTTGGTCGGTGAGCAGCGTACGAGACTGACTGAACTCCTGGAGTTGTTGACTGGACGTGAGTTGCGCCACTGGGTGTGACAACACCGCTATTTTGCGGGATAGATGACCGACGTCTGCGCTGTTTGTATGTCGGGGATCCCTCGATGACGGGATACGGGTTTGCCGAAAAGGACCGGGGCGCAGGCTGATAGTGGGCACTAGCCAAATTTGAAGGAGGCAGCTGCATCATGGGGTGGTAAGCGGGTCCACTTGAAATATCCGGAATCGCTGTGTAAAGTCCGGTGTCTTCGTTGGCGATGTAAGCCGGTTCCCCTCCGAGTCCGACCGAATGCTGGGGCGGGGTGACTGGTTCGAAAGACAGGCCGCGATTACTATAGTCCTCATATTGCGAAGATACGAAGGATGGCGCAGGGGAGTATTCGTAGAAGGTCGGCATGGAAGAATGGCGCTGATGAGGGCGGGGAATGGGCATTCCGTGGCGATCGTACTGGATGGGGCCGTAGTCCTGCTCGCGCTTAATGATGCTCTGGACTAGATTGTTCGAAAGGGGCATCTGTGGGTGGCTGTACATCTGATTCCCAGGGTCTTCCTGCATCAGAGGGATCGCTGGGGGAGCCATCTGCGGAGGAGGCATTGCGTCAACGGTCCGAACCACGGGGGAGTTGGGCTGGCCATATGTCGTACTTGCGTGGGCAGCGAACGAGTTTAGATTCACTTGTTGTGACTTGGTCAATTGCTCATATAGAGACTGGGACGAGTCGAATTCAAAAGACATGGCCGGTTCGCTGACTGCGACCGTGGTAGCCTCCTGGTTCATTTTCTCGCGCTTCAAGTCTCGTTCCAGTGCATCGAGGAATAGCCGGTCGTGAGGCACGCCGTACCAGTAAAACACCTTTTGTTTCTTTTGGGTTCGAATACAGTTGTTTTTGTACAAGAAGTCCAGGAACGGGCTCTTAGGATCTTCCAGAACCGCATCTACGCCGGCCTTGAGATTTCGTAAATCTGAGAAAATGCCCTCCTCAAATTTTTTCGAGTTCTTCACCGGACGTCCAAAGGCTTGGAATCGAAACGCAAGACAGCGGACAATATCAGTACCGGAAATGTGGAAAAGGCCGCTCCTGTTGAGATGGGGTCAGTCAGCTTCCTAAGCCATCACACTCTCAAGTAAGACGAACCAATAAACACAGGAGACATAATCGCCTGTGGGAAGCAAAAAGCGTCGAATGAGTTGATCCGGTTGCCAGTCAACGGGAGCCGACAGAAGAAAATATTTCACTGGCCCCATGTCAATACATTGCTTTAATGCAGGGGGAAAAAACACCGAAAGACATACGATTATCCACTTGCTGAAGGGCAACTTGCGCATCGTGAGGTAGGCTTCGTTGTGCTTCGGTCGAGAGCATGAAAGTTTCGGGCTTTTGTGGTGGTGCCATAGGGATTGAGGCACCTGGTTGAGGATACATTTTTAATTTGTGTGAAGCGCACTGTATAGATAATTAGAACCAGGGAAACGACCGCCTGTTAACGCGTGCGTAAACAAAGAGGGTGATTTTAAGTCCAATCAAATGAAGCCCCTCTGCGACTCTACTGAGACATAGCTGCAAGAGCTCGGATCAAACTCACCAGCTGAATGGTTCAACAAGAGAGGATCGGGAATGCGAGGATCAACGTCGCCAACCAGTTAAGATGATATCCGATCGGGAGAAGTTCTAAATCACACAAAATGCGCGGAAAGGGTTCTTGAGGCAACGGAGGAACCAGCCTCGTAGACAAAGCGAAATAAAGAGAGATTGTCAGAGAATGAAACTGGACCAGCCGGTAAGCCTCTGGGAGGGGGAAATTTCGCGCGCAGCGGAAGAAAGAAATGAAAGTGAAGAGGAAGCTTGAGTACTGGTGAAGAAGAAGAAGGGGGGGGGAAGAAGATACAATCAAGTCTAATAATAATCGAAGTTAGGAATGGGGGAAGCGCCCAGGGACATCTGACCGGTCAAGAACTAGTATGTTATTTTGGGTTATTCTTAGTCATACCGGATGTGGGACTCGCTATCCGCCATTAAAGGGTGTGAATGGCGTATTTTTTGTAATTAATCTGGTATTGGTGGTTATTTACTTTGTATCGATCTGTCATTTACAGGGTGGAACAGTAAATCAAGGTTCAGGTTCAGGTACGGGGGTACCTGTGTACATGTGTTCGGAGTATGTTGGACATTCACCATCCATACTTCAGCCCTAGAGGGACTATTGTTGTTAATGATGCATAAAGAAAAATAGCCGTCTCAAGTGAATACAATAATCACAATAGTTTGTTAGTCTTCAAAGTTTGATATACAAAGTAATATAAGACTTTGTTCATGTTAACAAAGCGAATCTAACCCCCTGTCTTAATTCTTTTTGTACAAGATTTGTATAGTGTTGTATCTCAAAATTGATGATTGGACCAATCTACATGGTGACCAGGCTGCATAAACAAGTGATAAACATATCACCTGCCATATTCAGAGATTCTTATAGACAAGAAGGCTGTGTGAATCCAACGGGAAAAGGGTGGAGACCGCCAAGGCTCATCAAACTGGCGCTGCGACCTGAAGCACCCGCCCTGTTGTTTCAGAATCGTAGTGGGCGCTTACATGCATCAAGACCTCCCGAATTTTCCCTTGGTATTTTCACCGAGCTCTGATACTTTTTTTATTTTCATTTTAATTTTATTTTTTCATTTAAGCGGCTGTGGCTTTGGGATCTTCTATCCGGTATTTCCGACTGATCTCTTTTGGCCCACGCATCAGACTGGTCTAATCGGGAAAAAGTACGAAGTACCCCTTTTAACATACAACAAAATATCTTGAAGAATCACCACCTCCCAATTGTACATGGACGCATCACACTTGGGTGTCTTCTACTATGCAATATAAACCAAAACAGAAATCCTTTTTTTGCACCTATACTCTGTACTTGTTCTCTGTGTCTAGTCCACTTTCCCAAGGCCAGCCAACTATGTCATGAGATGAGCAGAGTTTTAGACCACGTGGGTAACAGGTACCAAAGGCTTTCTATAGGATGAGAAGAAGGGCAGAATTCCAAGCTGTGCATTGGAACACCCCACAGCATGTGGACTCGGTAGACTACCGTTTATGGACGATCTCCTGATCGGAAATTTCAACGACATCAGTAGCCTAAGGAACTTAGCATGACTCTGACACACAACTCGGAGATGGTTACACACTCAAATCTCTGAAGATCAAGAAAGTAGTCATGTACAGAATACAAACATGTACAATCATGCTATCTCAATCCACAGAGATCGTTACTATCAGATCAGCGCATACATCTATGTGTCGAAATGTCTCATCTTCGAACCAAAAACAACCCCATTGAATCTTCCTTCCGTTGAATCTTGACTAGCTCGCCCTAGAAACAACCCCTATCAACCATCGCTCCAATAACCAACGAACCAAAAAAAATGGATACTAAGATCGGATTGTATGGCTAATTCCCAGCCTAACGGAGCCGGCCGTACTAAATCGGGCATGAGAAACATCCAAATATACTCGTGCAAACTACATCCACGCAGACCATGGCTGGAGGTTTCCGCTCTGACCACATTTTCCCGGCCTCCTGGGAAACTAGCCCGTATTCTCGGCAAAAACTCCCAGCTAGTGCATATGCAATACTTTGTACGGAGTACGGAGGTACGGAACATGCTACTCCAATTATGTCGGTACGTATTCCGTACTCCGTACATAGTCAGACCATTACACAGGGCACAGGGCACCTAGTAGTCAGGCCGTTTGATCGTCGACCCTGAAACAATCTAGAAATTCTACAATTGAGCCGTTGTGAGAAACGTGGGGACGTTCTGCCTCTACTGATGCAAGGTACCTCATGCGGAAAGATAGGCCGGTAGATGAATTTCGAGGAGGAGGGGATACGGTTTAACTCATCTAACCCCTGTTCTTGAAAGCAAAGCGAGATTAATGGCGTAATCCGGCTAGTATTCCTAACCGGGTCATTGGATCGTTGGTAGGGATGGAGTGCTGTTATTTTGTGCAGTTTTTTTCGTTCTTTTTTTTTCAAGTTGGTCGGTCTGTGGCTAATAGGTTTAACCTTCTCGCGAAACAGCTCCAATCGGCAATCATCATCTGGCCTCAGGGGACTTGGGACAATATGTCGTATACGTGAAAGGGACATATGGTGTAGAGGGTTAAGGGGGGAGGTTCATTTCGGGTTAGCGGCGCATCCCTGAGCTAATCCACAATCTGAAATATCTCCGACGTTTTTCGAGTTCGATCAGGATACCCCTGATTCAAACTGAATTGATTTTTCCTTACAATTGATATCCACTCGTGCCTTGGCATTAAATTTACAATCTAATTGAATTCACTGAGTCTCCATGTGTTCTTGCTGATGTACAAAGTAGGGGGTTCATGAGGTGAGAATGTTGTTTTAGATTCAATTCTTAGATCAGAGCAAACTGAAACATCTGTGGTAGGTGGCTTTCAAAGTCTTGCCGTCAAGCCTTCGGGGAGTTCCTCGATGCAGGTGGTCTTGACTTACTTTTCCGCGTGGATCCATGTTTTGAAGTCTCTTTGTGTGTGCCGTGTGTCTTTCAAAGCGATCTATGTACTCCGTAGAAGACCTGGTCAAACAGAGTCGATACTATTCCTCCTCTTCTCTATCATGGCTTCCTTCATAAATGGACTCCGTGCTCGGATATCTTTGCCCCAAACAAGCACCAATATCGGGGCAAAAGATAGAGCCAACGCAATGAAGGCTAGTACCGTACTAGCCCAATTGAGGCCAAGATGAGAGTACATACTCATAGTAGCTAGAGGAAGAAATGCTGCCAAGGTGTTCTCACCGGTGGCGATGATACCCATACAACTGCCTGCGTATTTGCTGTACGCATCGACCACATAGTCCGAAATTCCCGTCACGACAATGACACTACCGGCCCCTACCATGGCAAGACCAACGGCTGGTGCGATCCACGGAAAATTAGGATATGACGTCCAGGCGTATGTGAACATACCACCCGAGATACCGAATATACCGCCCAAAATAGCGAGGTACAGCCGAGCCTCCGGAATGGGTGTTCCGGGGATTTCCTTGTTCCGGGATGCCGAGTCAAAGTAAATTTTGCCTGAGAACAAGGTCATCACCCATCCCAGGAGTTCTCCGATCACGACAGCTGCTTGAACGTATCCAGCCTGTGCTGGTGTCCAACCATACAGCGCTGTAAATACCTGCTCAACAGATTGAGTGAACAGATACAATGTCCCGACGGTAAAGGCAGACCATAGCGTCGATACAAACACCACAGACTCTGTGCAGAACAGGAAAAGAGGCCTGCTGGCGCTGTGGCCGACGATGCTTAAAATTGACTGGCCTTGCGTGTCGATTTCATGCTGGGTATAGGCATTCTTGCCTTCCCGTCGTAGAGCCTCAGCCCGCTGTCCTAAAATTGCAATCCCACGACATTCCTTGAACAAGAAGAAGTACAGGGGGAAAAAGGCACCGTACCACATGAGCTGGATATATCCAATCCACCTCCACGTCAGAGCATGGTAGATCGCAGCTCCAATGACAGGTCCAATGCTACTACCCGACAGGTAAGCAACAATGAAAAGACTGACAGGGATGTTGCGACTTCGCTCCGTGTCCCAGACATTCCCAATCACCGTGCCAGAGGTATTAGCGAGAATGGAGACGCATGACCCGGCAAAGAATCTCGTTATGACCAACGTGTAGAAATTCTGAGCCACGGCCTGGGGCACGAGAAAACAGAGGAAAGTCACGTACGTGCCCAGAAACACCCATCGCACACCAAAATCCTCCATGAGCGGGAGGACCAGCAGGGAGGAACAGCCGCCGCCAATGGCCCATGATGTGACGGGCCAGTAGGAGTGAGGGAAATTGGCGTCTGAGATGTTAAAGCGCTCATTCATGGGGTCATGGGCTACTGTGAAAATTGTGCCGTTAATCAGGGACATGAAGGTGGCGAACACGGCGAGGACTGTGAGAAGCCATTTCTCGCACAGAGTCCAGTTGTATGGGTTTCCGGGATCTTGTGGTCCATCCCAGGACACCAATATGATATCTTTGCTTGGATCTTGATGATCTTTGTCGCTGTTAGTCAAGATCTTGGACCTCGGTTGCAGGTGCTGTTCTGATTTACCTATTGTCTGTTCATCATGGCCAGATACATCGCCACGCGCGAACACCATTCCGATCCAATTCAAACTCTTCACAGCTGGTCGAAATTCTTGTTCTCTTCCACGTGGTGATCTGTGAACCGAACTTGAAAAGAATGATGTAATTCTCCGAGACCTTTCACAATTGTCAGCACTCAGATTTCTTCAAGTTCAAGGCTTTGAAAAAAAAAAAACATGGAATTCCAGCTTCCTTTAAACTCTACCAGAGCTGCGGGAAAAAAATTATTGTGAACTCCCAAGTGATTATCTCCCCACTATAGGCCCAGTCCTCCGGACACGCTGCTTTAGGACGTCGATTTCAACTTCACATAATCTGATTGGCTACTAAAGTTACTTTGACCGACTCTTCTGTTGATGTGCTTAGATGAAGGAATTAGCTAAACGATCTGCTTCTGCACCCCACATTAGCTTTGTTGCCCCATGGGATTCCTCCCTAGGCGAATCATGTTCGTCTTGCCCTGCAGGATATGCCTCGAGCTTGACAATTTTTGTCGATCGGGCCTAGAAAAATCATAGTTTTTTTGGGGGTAATTATCTATCATTCCGCGTTTTGCGATCTCGCGGCTTCAACATGAGATCTCTAATCGTTCTACATTGAACCTAGGCTGTATTAAGAAGCCAAGGTGTGGTCTGATGGCTCACCTTGCGAAGCTAAGAGATTGACTTGATTTATTTTTTGCTACCAATCAGATGGTTTGGGGTAAAACAGGGACTAGAATAGTCTTGCCTTGCGTACGGAGTGCTCTTTGCTCATATCCAGAGCCATGCTCACCTTCTAGTATGCTATCTTAAGTCTATAAAAATCATACCCCCTATTGAGCTTAGCGGTCGCTTCAGTCGCACATGAGTCATAAACGCCCAAGATTCAATTTCGAAATCTATGGAATACCCCAATGGTCAAAATCACAAACTCTTGAATTCGGATCCGAGCTCTGATGCTAAACTATTGTTCGTTGGATCGGTTCCATTCCCGCGATCGCATTTCATTGCCTTTTAGGGTACTAGTCTGTTTTCTTATTTAGGTAGCTGCTTCCTGCTTCCCTGTCCGCAAGCATCGACATCTTACCTTCAATCAAGGTACAAACTAACAGTACCTAGACAGACCAATACAGAGTTACGAGATTCAATCACGTCAAGGATAATTTTGGCTCAAACCCCGATGATTTCCCTGGTTGACAGTAGCCCGGCATCGCCGTGGTGCCCATCAATCACCGTCTCACTCTACTCGTACGGTCATGTCAATGGCCCATTTGTGACACCGAAAACTCAGGAACAGAGCTCAACACTGTTTTCATTAAATATTCGTCATCTTCCAAATCCACCGCGAAATCTACGGGCCATGACTACTGGCCTGTCATCTCGGCTGCGGAAGGAATTTATAAAAAATGCCACAGTGGACAACTTCCTTGAAAGAACGCTGAATGAGATTATCAACTCACTAAAGACAACTTGTGATGCATTATTCCAAGAAGATTGTTCCTTGCAGAAACTCAAAAGCCGCAGCAACGAGTTCGAAATCACGACAACTAGCACTCACCAGAATCCTGATATCTCGTTAGTGGTGACTGTGTGTTGTGAGGAGGGCCGCCACCGAAGTGTTGCTTTTGTGGAAGAATTGGCGAAAAGACTTTCACTGATGAGACATGGCGCTGATTTGTCTCTTGCTTGGAAACTGAGTGTTACTACTTCCCATCGAGATCTGGAAGCCTTGGGATTTGCTCCCACCAGTTCAGACTCAATGGCAAGCCAGCAAATCGGGAAATCATACATCAAGAGTAAGAAAGAGAAAGGAAAGAATGCCAGAAAGCTGAATCAGAAGAATATGAATGGATATGAGGATGAGATGTTGTAACAAGTTCGTAGTGAGCACTTGGGTAGAGTATATAGGAAAAAAGGAAATCTCTCAATGGCCAGTGACATTTTCACATCTCTCCTCCGCTTATCCATCCAGTTAGCAATCTCCAACATCGCCGAAAAGACCCAGAACATTCCTAATTTTGCCATCGCGTCGCTCATTGACGAGCACTTGACCTCATAACTATCCGGCCATGATTAACTGTTTCGCCTTGTGTAACGCTCAAGTTGACCTCGTGTGAGAAATCACAGTATGTAAGCTCCTTTCTGTTTCTAGATTTTCAATAACTAGGATAGGCAACATCTTTTTTGATTAAGTACCAGGATCAAAATGACTCTGATAGGTTGGCACGAAGTGTTCATATCATAAGTTTGCCACATCCAACTTATGACATCGAAGACTCCCCGCATTTGAGCTTGAGTTAAATAGTTTACCTTGGGTTCCAACGTATCCTCATGCACCTTCACTTTTTAACACTTCACATACATCCAACTATTTAACTTGCCACCACGGTCTACCACGTGTAAATATGGTCAAAACCGACATTGATCAGAATCCCCTAGATCCCAATTACGAAAAGCGCCGCAGCTCTCTGGGAAATATGGAGCACCAACAGCAAGACCAATCCAATGTCAAAGATGAAGATCTCATGGGAGGCAGAGAAGTTGCACCGTGCGTTTAGACCTTCAGACCTTCAGACCTTCAGACCGCAATTTGGAGGCTTTCCTTAAACGTATCCCGTAACTAACAAAAGAAATAGATCGTCCCGCGTCATGTGCTCGGAGCTCGCACACCAACATGCAGTGGATAGCCTTAACAAGAAAACAGGGCGCCGGTCCTCACAGGATGTAGATCACAGTACGTCTCTACGTCCGACCATTCTGGTATCAAAACGATTATCGTATGTACTGACGATCAACAGATTCTTTCCTCTCTGATCTGAGTACCGACCGTGGGCTGCAGGCGCACCCCGAACAATTGGAAGAGTAGTTGATCTTGGTTGGACTCGGGACTAAACTGGGAAGTTCAGAGGGAAGACTTAGATCGGCACCAGAAGTGATGCCTTCATGAAGCGATGATAAGCTGTAAAGTAAAAACTAACAATCTGTACTACCTTTCTTGCGTACATCTGCATATTGTACATTGCGGTGGCCTAAGTTCCTTCGTGAGGCAAAAGTACGTTCGTACGTACTGGTGATGTCATCATCATGCATGGAAGCATGAACGTCGTTAAAGAATAGAGTAATCCCGTTCAAATTTCTTTTTTGGTGCATCTCGTTGACCAGTGTCTTCTTCTATCTAATTCGGAGTCTATACGCCACCATGGTCAATCACTGGTCGAATCAAAAACCTTCTTTCCCCGATACCAAGTCTGGCAGACACGCGCCTCAAGCAACTTCTCCGGCATCCACTGCATATCAACAATCAAGAAATCTGCACTTAAGCCCCTCCGCAGACTTCCAGTCCAGGAATCAGCGAACCGCGCATAAGCCGCACCAGCAGTAGCTGCCGTAGCTGCCTCAGCCAACCCCAACCTGAAATGTGCGTTTAAAGTTTCATCAGACTCGGTTTGAAGTGCCGAGCGCCTAGTGGTAGCGTTGTAAAGATTAGGGAAAGGGAAGTGAGCCGCAGTGGGGGCATCCGTTCCGAAAGCAACAGGAGCACCCCCATCCAGGAAATCCTTATAAGCGAAGGCACGCTTACAGCGCTCGGGGCCCACAAGACCAGGCCACGCCTTGAAAAGCATAGGATCCGAGTGCACAGGCTGGACTGAGGCGGTGATACCCAGCTGGCCAAGTCTTTTGGCATCTTCCGAGGTTGTCAGCTCCAGGTGTTCGATTCTGTGTCTTCGGCCTGGCGTGCCGACTCTCGACAGCACGTTGATTGCCTGGTGGATGGTTTTATCGCCTATCGCATGAATTGCGCATTGCAGTCCTGCTGAGTCGGCGCGCTGGACGACTTCTTGGAGCATATTCTCTGGCCAGATTGGATCGACGGGATCTGATTTGCCAGAGTACGGTTGGAGGAGAGCGGCAGTGCATCCGTCGACAACACCATCGCAGATGAGCTTTATTCCGAGGACGTGGAAATCGGGCTCGTTGAACTGGTTGTGTAACTCAATTGCTCGATCCACGTGTTTGAAGTTGGCGGTTTGATCCTCTGAGAAGGGAACGAGCCAGTGTGCGCCGATGTGGAATGGGATGGTATGATCGCGACGGTAGAGATTCAGAATTTCCCAGATTTTGTCGTCCATGGCCATATCCACGAGTCCAGTATACCCGGCCGCGGAGTATGTCGCAACTGCAGTGTCCAACGCACTCAGTTTGTCTTCCGTGGAGGTCACACTTTCTAGATAAGGCCATGCAAGGCTTATAACAGCAGATTCATCAAGTAGGCCGGAGGCTCGTCCATCTTCATCACGGTGGATGGTTCCACCGGGAAAATCGGGAGCCGTATGAGCTCCCATCTCCTCAAGAGCCGCCGCGCTGCACCACATGGAGTGGAGGTCGAAGGAGTCAATAAAAATGGGACGTGGGTCGATACCATCCAGCATACTTGCTAGTGCGATTCCATTGGTAGATGATTGGATCCAGCCTGTACACAATATGCGTGGCAGAGATGGATTGGCTTCTGCGTAAGCTTTGATAGCTTGACGGATTTGATCAAGTGTGGTGCAGGCGATAAGATTGGCTTTGCGCAATGATTGCCCGTACTGCAAGATGTGTACATGGGCGTCGATGAAACCTGGAATGACGGTGCGATTTTCCAGGTCAATGACATTTGCGTTTTCTGGAATGGTTATTCCATCGAGAGAGCCGACGTGGGAGATCTTGTCATTCTCGATGATCATGCTCTGGGCAAAGTTCTCATTATTCGAGTCTTGCGAGGGCATGAAAATGCGCCCATTCTTAAAAACGGATGTCATGATTTCCGGTTTGAAGTTATTGTTGAAACTGCGCAACGACGATTTGCTGAAGTATTTATTGCTTCCTGCCGAAGTCGGACCGTTTTTTTTAACTCTTAGACCCGGAATTCTCCAGGACTTGCCGTTTGAGAAAATTGAAGGGTGGGGATGGTGGGATTTGGGCCGTGTTATCTCCAAAGAGGATAACGACTATAACGTTATAAGATAGCCTGGATGATTGCTTTTAAGGACCGGCCATTAAACTGCATAATGATTGGATGAGAGAAGAGGGGCAAGTGATTGGACTTTAGGACATTCCATGGAAGAAAAAGTATATATGTCATTTCCATTCACTTTCAAATATCAACCAGCCAAGTGGCCGAGTAGTAACTTGTCCATCACATCTTCCTTGGTCTAGTGGTGATGATTTCCGCTTGTCATTAACACCGATAAGCGCGGGAGACCGGGGTTCGATTCCCCGAGGGAGAGATTTCTTTTTTTCCATGTTTGATGGTTCTTACAACCATCTTATTACTTCAAACTGAGCTAAATGAAATGAGGGTGTTGTCAAGGATTGATCTCGTCTTAGGTTCTTTTAGTGTTATTAATCCTCTAATACACCAGCAAAGGAGGAAATTGTCAACGAAAACAAAAACAAATTGTGAATAATCTTAAAGTGGGGCCAAAGTAGCCTTGGTCTTTTGTTGAATGGCGATACTCTTTAGCGCAGGACTCACTGTATTTGTATCTCTCTGCAAAGAAATAATTCTTGGTGTATCGCTTCGGAGCCCTGTGAAATGTGTTCATGGGATTTGATAGCCTATGGCGGAAAATTAGCAATAAGAAACAATCAGTGCTGCTGGGACGAGCTGATATATATCCGCACTCACACATGTGTGCGATTTAACGAAAGATGCTGATCATTAGGCCTAGATTGTTCATACTATTTTGAATGCCGAGAATAAATGTACGTACCGATAGTGGCCAAATGAACACCTCAAGCACTATGGGCGTCCATCAAAGAGCGTTCCTACCGGCTGATTCGCTTTCATCAAAATTCCACAACCAACTACAGGGGTTGACAGTTTCTTGTCTAACACAAACAATATGGCCCACAGGGCTGTATATGTTATGGACTATTTTCTACACCCTGCGCTAAAGCCACATTATGGATGGTGGTCGATGAGATAGTTGCGTGGGCAGTGTATAAATCACTCCATAGATTCAACATCCGTTACCCCATTGAACCCTCGGGTAGCAACAACCCATACATAAGACCAAGTGGGGATAACACCTTCCAAGCACCAGCCAGACACCGTGAAAATTAAAGCAGCCATGACCAATTCCAAGTAAACATTGGCCCCCAGAGAATGATGTCACATGGATATCCAAGAACTCTAAACCCAATTATAAACAGGCGTGCGTAATGTAGCCTTGGTGATCAGAAACCTGATAGAACGCCAAACCTTCAACCCACTACAGCGCCAAGTGGAATGTCCGGAATGTACCTTTTCCCACTTGATCGACAACTTTTGAGGGCGACGAGGCAGCGATTGGCTGATAGTGGCGGAACCCGGGAACAAACCTTGGAGGCGTGACGGGCTTGGGCGCGAAGTTCTTGAAGAGACCAGATGCGGGCCGGAAAACCCCAAAAATCTGGAGGTATTCTTCTTCGATTTCGGCACAAGCAGACCCGCCATCCACTAGAGATTGCACAAACGCTGGTCCCTCGTCCTCCTTAAACTGAGAGCATCTCTTGATAGTGCGTGGCCTGTTTTCAGATACGTTGAGACGAGTCTCAGATTGGGGTCTCTTCATACCTTGGAATTGAATTCCATCTATTTCCCCAGCAGTATCAACCAAGCGGGATTCCAGCTCAGAGGATAGCCTGTGCTGCTCTCTAAACCGGTGGGGTTCGATATAAGAACGTGAGCTGATGGGAGATGATCATTGTCGTTGGTTGAATCACTCACAAGAACCGATTCTGGTGCTTCTGGATTGATGTTTCCTCTGTGTCGGAGATATGGATCACCGATCGAGCTGAGTTCAGGCGTTGAGCCGAATTTTGGGTAGGCAACTCAGGTTGATTCTGTCCAGTATAGCCGGGGTTGGCAGGGTGAATACTGAACAGGCTGAGGTCCATCCAACGCGTGTGGAGATACCCTAATTGCGGAAGCAACTGGTTGGATAAACCGTGAGTTTGGAAACAAAACAGATTGTAGAAATGGGATGAACTTACATGCGAGGAGATTGATATGTGTCTCATGTAGGTAGGAACGTAGTATGAACCGGACTCGAGCTTCCTTTCGCTCGTCCAACAAGCATTGCAATGGCTGCAAAAGTCGTTGCGGGACGCCAGAGAGGATTTCGATGTAGTTCACCCCGGAGACCTCAATCAAAGTTCCCCGAACGCGGCACCGGTACATTCCACTTTCTTGTCGTTTGAAATCACCGGATGTCAGCGATTGAAGAAGAACATTGGTCCAGCCAATGGGTCTGTGAATGTTGCATTCAACCATGAGTGGGCGTGCCTGGCCAAATATTCTAGCAGCTGTCATTTCGATTTCGGAGTAGAAAAGCAAGTTGCCGAGTTGTGGTTCCAGCAGGCCACCATTAGCAATGACCTGGGCATAGGCAGCGGACTTCCTGTAAGCTTCACCAATGTCATGCTGCAATGCAGTACAAGGAGTCAGTGGCATCCTGGTTGCACCCGGCGCGACCTCGGAGGCCAAAGCCAAAGGACAAAACCTAGCAGTCCAATCACTTTTAAAATAGATAAAACTAGAATACCCATCAATAAGAGAGTCCATGACGGAGGATTTCTACAGAGAGAGGACGGAATATACGGAATAGATAGAATTCATATTTTAAAGGAGCTTATTTACTAGACGACCTGCATTTGATAAACGCCCCCCCCCCCCCCCCCCCCACCTGATTGAGAAAGTATGTTGTAGTCCCCATAAATTGCAGACTATTGTTGAGAATGCTATAGCTAGGGGATCGCTAGGCGAGACGGCGGAATCCCGGTTTGTGTTAGCCAAGCGGCGTTGGTGTTCAGGAAGCATCCTAAAGTGCGGAAAAATCTTCTGACAGTTTTGACTCCGCATTACCGGTGAAGGAAAAGTTGGCTTTGCCATTAACATGCTGCAAATTATGGTATAGAAGGGTTGCCGCTTAAGGGGTGGAATATAGAGGAAATGAACCACGCTACCACGCTAAATATCGGATTGCTAAGGATTACATATTATATTGAACAGAGAGGGGCCACGGTATGGATTAAAGTGGAGAATATGGTTCGTGGGAAAAGGGGCATTAACAGTGAGCGTGACTGTTGAAGGAAGCAGGCACGCAAGTGTAGCAACTTGCAAGAAATCTCCACGTGTGGACGTGTGGACGTTTTTGAGTGGCCGTTGAAGGGACAGGACATGGGGACTAAGAAGATTTACCCCTTTAAGATATACTCAGGTGGTCTGGCCAGTTAGCGTAGCGATGGGAGAGACGAGAGACGAGAGCCGAACACGACAAGAAGGGTATTTCAGTGTGAATGATAGCAATGGAAGAGAGGCGCCCAGAGGATTTCACTTTAAAACCCGATCTATGAGAGCTAAGAGAGAGAGACATCGAAATGCATAGTTAAGGAATCGAAGTATCCATTATGGATGCAATTTCCCTACTTTTTGAGGGCGACGAAAGAATAGACCAACGATAAGTACACTCAAATGATAGAATAGCTTTAGTAGAAAGAGGATGAAAATGTGAGTATAAGTGTTGAGCAGTTGCACAAGGAATCCGCAAGCTGTAAACAAAAGAGATACTTTGTGCTAAACGAGACTGGGAAGATAATTTAGTCAGATATTCGTGATTCTGCCAAATGATCTAACTTACCCTGAGAAAACTTCTGTAGCCCTGGAAATTTTGATTGTTATGTCAGTTGAAACTCAACTTACAGCCCACAAGCTCCAGACTCACCTGTCTTTAGCACACGTTCGGCAGACCACTCTTGATCGGGGGTGATCCAGCCGTTTTGGAGGGCCAGTCCAGCTCGTATATGATGGTGGCGCCATGAGGCTGCTGAGAGGAACGGAATAAGGGGTATGGGGATACATAGGGCGGCGCGGCGGCATAACCAGGGTGGGGGACGGCTGCTGAAGTTGACTGGCTTGCTGGGAACGCCCGGATTGGCTAGGAGGGATTGTCATTCAAGAAGGCCAAATGAAGATGCAACGGGAGTTGTACTTTCAATACCACGATTTTGCTTGGGGTCTCTGCGCCGCCCACTCCTTCTTCTTTAACTGCCCGTTCGTCCATCCGGTCGACCCAAAGTCTCAGTGTGAGCCAGCGATGGAAAACACCAAACTTTTCGACGTAGGCTTTCTCAATATCACCCGGGGGCTTTCCTGCATTTACCTGACTCTTGAACCAGGCTGGAGCATGCTTTTTCTCATAGTCAGTGAAGTTATTCCGTGTTCGTTTTTGTCCCTTGCGTCGCGTTCCTGCAGTGGAAGATGTGGGCTGTGGTTTGGTCGGCGTATCGACCTTTTCTTTCCACATTGGTAACTCTTCACCGAGGTCAGTGGTCTCGATATCCGTTGGGGACGAGGCACTCTCGGTCTTTTGCTTTTTCGGAGGCGGTCGCATCAGGTCCTCGTTGCCATGGAGCGGGTGTCTCGCCGACTCGTCTCCTAGAAACTGTTTGTCAGGCTGTGTCTCAGCCTGGCTTTGTGCGACCTCGGGCTTTCTGTTGCTGAGAAGCCCGGACACCGATACTCCCGTTTCATTACCATGTGTTTTCTGGTTGCTTTCGGCGACCAAGTTCGAAGGGTCTTGTTGGCTTGAGTTATCAACCACTTCATCACTATAATATGACATGGGTCTTGAAACATCGCCGGGAATGGTGAAAGGGATATCAGATCCACTTGAGACTCCCGAGCTTTCCGATGAGCTGCGTGCACGGGTATGCGTCTCAACACAGATCGTGGGATGGCGTGACTCGTAAAGGGCAGGGTACTGTGAGCCGGGAGATTGTGGTGAACGAGCCCTTTTCACGGGGTCTCGAATACCTTGGAGCCTGACTCGGCGTTTCTTCAGTGCTAACTGAAGTCGCTTCAATTTCTCCACGTCTGGTTTCATTAGTATATCTCAAACAACCTGCACGCGTGAGAATTTCTGGGAAGTACGGACATTTGATCTTTTTATCAAGCTCGTCCAAGACATCTGCCTCTATTGCCAGCGTGATTTCCGACTCTCTTTCAGCGTCGATGGGACTTGGCCACAGGTAAGAGTTTGCCGGGAGGAAGCATCGGTTGAGCAAAATGCTTTTGTGAAGGGACTCATCAATTTTGACGAGATTTCCTTGATCGTAACAGTAGTAGGAGCCATCACTTTGCTTTTCGAAATTGCCGTGTCGGAAAATGTTGACCCAGCTAATCGAGGGGGTATTCTCAGAGTCTGATGAACACGGAGGACGAATGCCCAATGTTTCCCTTAGACGCGTCTCGATAGTGTAACTTTCGAGTGGTTCTTCCGAGAAGTATTGGGTGAAAGTCTCATCATTGTCAAGGACAGCCTGATAGGACTGCATTAATGCGAGACCATCCTGTGGCAGGGACTCAAATCTCTGCAGTTGGGACCGGACATCCTCTCGATATGTCCCCCATTTGATCGGATGGTTAAGACCACTATCCATTTTCAGGTAGTGTTCTGGGGGATAACTTTAGTATTTAGATAAGCGTTAGATTTGGCTAGTCGCATCTCACCTTAGGCAGAGTTAAAAAAAACCACACTTCAAGCCTCTGGGTATTGTAACGTGAGCTGAAAAGTGAAAAGTGTGGAATATCGAAAGACGAGCAGAACAAAGAGCGGACTAGGAATGAATTCTTTTCTTGTCGAACTCCCCCCCCCCTTGTCGAAGGATGTGATTAGGTGTGCTTTGATAAATCGTAGTGGCTTGGGAAGGCAGTCGTCACGGACGTGATGAATACCAGTAACGAAACCACGTAATTTTCAATACTGCAATCACACTATTAACGTAAGCCAGTCACTCCAAGTGAATTTAGATAAATGCAATATGGCTTCTAATGGCCTAGCGATTATAGAAATAGCAGTACCTCTTAAATTGAAGAAGGAAAAATTCGCCACACACTTTCCTGGTTGCGGACACTATTAATTGTGACCAACAAGCGAGGCCCACACTGTTGTTGGGGAACCAGGCGCCTAAGGTCCGCTGCAGTCCTCAATTACACTTCAGCCAGATCGTTTGTTTGTGGGGATTCTTCGACCTCCAAAGGATTTACTATAAACGCCAACGGTCATGAGTGATAGCTTTTACTTTCCCGTGCTGCATATCAAGACTAATTTGCTCGCCGACATACGCCCGAGTCTACAAACGCAACAATAGTGCTGTCACCGCTATTTATTCACTTTCCAATCAATCTTGTTAGTGTTCCAACAAATCCTGCCCAAGCTATATGATTGGTTTATTGATACACGAAACTTTTTGGACTGAAAAGAAAGGGGAATTCGGGAGATTTAGCGCAACCTTGGTAATAATGATATGATTTCTTGAATACCACATGACACTGTGACAACAAAATTACAGTGGTATTTCCGATACTCGTACCTAGAGAGTTTTCAGATGCTCTTATGGAGAAGGGTAGTTAACGACTAGATTTTCATTTTTGATGGATGACGTTAGATTGTTTTCATCTTGTTAGTTCTTTGATATATAATCTCTTTTCTCTCATATTATCCACGGTTTGCAATTCACTCACACAGCGTATTAGTGACTATAAGAACCAGTTTCAATGACTCAACGTTCTTAATTAAATACAGTTTTCTGTGCATGTACGTTATATGTATTGCTGTTAGCTTAGTTAAATGTGTCCATGGCAAATTAATTACGTAATTGCACGTTTTATTGAGCTATCGAAGATTGATGCTGATGATCACAATTTATGACAGGGAAATTGTTGTGAAGGATTTTAGGAAAATAAAGTAAAACCAGACAGGATCGGACATTTCTCTTTCCCCCTGCCAAGGATGGGATGATGGTGGCGTGTTAGGTCAAAGATTTGCCGTCTATTGTATATTAATGGGCAGCCTATGTTATCGAAATGGGATGTAGTTTTTCACAAATGCTGAACTTTGCTGGAGATAATGATCAAGATTGGGCCAAAAGTTTAAACCATGCATCCCCTATGTTGTAAATAAGTGCCCCTATATAAGCCCAACACACCTATTTGAACTCACAGTGAGAAAGGTGGGGCCATCATTCTCAGTCACGTGATCGTTAAACTCAGTCGAGGCGAGCCTCAAACAAATCCTGCTTATCACGCTAGACACCCTTCAAGGGACACTTGCCAAGATCAAGATGTGGATCAACTGCGGGAAACTCTCGGACTTCACGCAGGCGCGATACGTGGTCCGTCTGACCACAGGCAAGAAGGTGGTCTTATTCCGGCTCCCGACGATCGACAGCTCAAGCTTGAAAGCCAATGAGACCAATGACGGCTGGTCATACTACGCCATGGAGGCAGAATGCCCACATGCTGGCGGTCCAATGGCCGACTCTTCGGTTGACATTGAGGACTCGGCGTATGTCGTGTCGTGCCCGTGGCACGCATACGATTTCAACGTAGAGACCGGCGAATCGAGCGTCGGAATCAAGGCCTGCACGTTTCCTGTGGATGTGCGTGGCGAGTTCGTTGCGCTGGATTTCCCCGCCGAGGATGGGGTCAGCGTCGGGCTTGCTAGTGTCGATCCTGTCACTGAGAAAGTCAAGCTTAAGCACCCGCGACCTGCGGACAAGACCGTTGCTTCTCCTGCTACCACTCCTGCGGCTACTGCCATTTCTGCTTCTGCTTCTGAGGGCCAAGACAATCCCGGCATGGCGACATATCTCGGCGACGACGCGACGTTGTGTGACTGGGCCGCCCACATTCTCAATACCGCTAATCCGGAGCACAAGATCGAGTTGGCTACGCATCTTTTCTCTATTTTCACTGCTCGGGAGGCTTCTGATTCACCCATGCCGCTTGGCCGGGGCACGGTTGCTGCGCCCGACCAGCCGCCGCGCGAGAAAATGGAAACTGTTGACCCAGGCCACATGCCCAAGGCGGGACGAGGCGGGACCTTAAAGAGCCGTATCGCCATGCTCCATGCGCTAGCAAATATCGAACTGTGGGCTATCGACTTGGCTATTGATATCTGCATTCGCTTTGCGACTTTCCAAACCGAGGGGACGCGCCAGGAACTCCCGCGTGCATACTTCTACGACTGGCTGAAGGTCGCAAACGACGAGGCTAAGCACTTCTCCCTGCTCCGCACCAGACTCGAGGAGATGGGATCTAGCTTTGGTTCGCTCCCGGTACACCACAGTTTGTGGCTATCGGCAACTGAAACTGCGTACGACCTCCGAGCGAGAATCAGTATTATCGCTCTGGTGCACGAAGCACGCGGCTTGGATGTTAACCCTATGACGATTGAGAAGTTCCGCAAAGCTGGTGACGGTGAGAGTGTGGCAACTCTGGAGATTATTCACAACGACGAAATCACGCATGTCACCACTGGTCATCGGTGGCTGACGTGGATCTGTGCCCAAGAGGGAACTGATCCTGTTCAGGTCTTCCGGTCAAATGTACAGAAGCATTTCAAGGGTCCGATCCGGGGACCATTTAACGAAGAAGCGCGCTTGCAGGCTGGAATGGACAAGCGCTATTACGAGAACTCGTGTGCTCCCAGTGCGGGTATTACAGCTTCATGACCGTGCCCGGTCATGAAATAGAAGGGAAACACTTTACGTTGAAACATGATGTCACGCAGTTGATCGGTGTTCCGATCTTTTCTCTTGCTCACATGGTTCTATTTTTATTTTTTTGATATACCCGTCTTAACCGAGCAGAATGTACATAGCAAGGAAGCAAGCATTTCGTATTCATTATTCGCTGAAATCGCTATTAACTAGTAACCATTAAGAAGTGCTGACTCCCAACCGTTGATCATTAAGTGCCAATAAAGGAGACGAGGATCACCGCCAAGCGACCGTGGGGATATCATCTAGATGTATTCGATCTTCAACTGGACCTTGGAGCAACTGGAGGGAATGGTGGCGGTGTAGTATCGGTTCAAGTAGAATAGCTGGGGCGCATTGTGGTACCAATCACAGACTGTTTTGGAGAAATTAATGCCACGGTCTTCAAATGAGGACAAAAAGCAAAAACGCGGGGGTTTCTTACCGAGCCAGCCACCGAAGCCGCTGCTTTCCGACCACTGGAAGGTGCTGTCCCCCTTGATGGAGTACCCTGAGCTGCCGCCACTGCCGGCATTGATAACGATAGGTTCCCATGCTAAAAACAACGAAAGAAAATATTAGGCAAGTCCGGACTGACATGTGACAAACTGGAAATTTTTAAAAGGATGTGGCGATACTCACAGCCATAGTTGGTGTCGCCAGTGGCGATCAATCCCCACGAGAATTCGGTTTTCAAATCGACGAGCGCGTTTGTCCCATTCAGATAGATAGGACTGGCTATGCTGGCATCCTTGGTGAGCACGGCATCGTTGAGACCTGCGCCCGTGTGGTATGCGTAGACATAGAGGTTGTTGTGATTCTCATTGGTAGCACCGGTAGACTTGAGATGGAAGCGCTTGGACTGCCTGGTAGTGATAGTGACAGGAGCTGCGATGGCAGAGGTAGCCAGCAAAAGAAGGGATGCGAGAAACTTCATCTTGAGTTTGTGATTTGATGGCGGTGTTGTGAGAGGAAGGTTGGCTTAGACGTTGGAAGTTGAAGGTGGGAGATTGGAGATTGGCGGCTGGGGTTTCTGAGATAGTCAAAAAGGTCACGTTCAGGATGGAAGCTAGCAGGATTGAGGTGCATGGACTATTTTTGATGAATTTTGCAGATACAGATGATTTTCTATTTACTTGCTCTTTTGGAAATTAATCGCTTTCTGTGTAGGCCCTGCAGTCGAAGGTTCACATTCTTACAGGCCGAAGAAATTACCACATGATCAACCCGATGAGTAAAAATGCCTTGATCGCTGGAGGTCATGATGTCAACAGACCAACTAAAAAATGGGTCTGTACCAGTAAAATGACGGGATGACAACAGTCTAACTATATGAAGCCTTAGTGGAACTGGGGTTGCAAGACTATGTTGTAGGAGGAGAACTGGCGGAGGGAAGTGAGACATTTTTCTTCCACTTCGGGCATCTCTTAAATATTATCCGGAAATTTTTTATCTTCTGGTGTCCATTGTAACATCCCTTCTTGATGACTGAGACAGATTCGATATTCCAGCTCATTTATATAACTGTTGGTGGGAAATTCCAAGTAAAGGAATAGGCGAATTACAACATGTCAGATGACTGAAACGATGACAGACCGAGACAAAGAGGGTGATTTACTGTGAGCCAATAGCTTCAGATGCATTGGCGTTTTTCGAGTCCGTGTGTTGCTTGGTTAGAACGCCTCTGCGATGCAAGGGTATAACCTCACCGCCAGATGTTGTCCACAGTTGCTTCTTTACATCCCCATCCCACAGCATCGGACTCGCAGTAATATATCATCGACTATCTGAAGGTTGACAAATTCGGTCCACTACGCCAAGGCTATGGTGTTGCAGCTTACTTATTTTTTTGAAGCCCAAGGCAATAAGCCGAAGAGAGCTCTCACTATAAAAATGCCTCTCACAATGGGAACTCTTGTGTGAACTTACTGATTCCGATATAGCCCTCTTAGTCACGGGATTTTATTCCAAGTATTGAAACTAGTGCCTCCTTAAGATGTATTTTCCCCTCACAGACAGGTGGGACGATTTTGGTATGTTGGGGTCAAGTTTGAGCCCTAAATGAAGGTCATTTCTAGGCGAGATCGGTGTGATTGCAATCCCATTTCGGCTTTAGAGTATATAATCTAGGTTATACCCAGGCATGGAGGATGTTCATGGATGTACAAACACAATGATTTACGCTGAGGCTGAGGTCTTCCTCTTATAAAGTTCAGCCATTTCCCGACAGCCATCAGCTTCTTCAAAAGTCACGTCATATCTCCAGCCCAGATATTCTTTCGAAAGTCTCTCTTACAGCAATTAATTCCAGTATGTTGCAGCAGACATTTAATCCTTTCGAGGGCATGGCTGTATAGCCGTCAATGATCGAAGAGTGCATGCGAGCTGGAATCATGGAAATGTGTACGGAGCATGTAGTCTCTAGTAGTCTCTATATGGAACTGATGTTAAGGGTGTCGGGGGAAGAATCAGTCTTGGGGAAATTCCCTCAAGATCGCCGTGGCTTTGAGACCAATCCGACGGATCGGCATCTCTTTGTCGGTGCTCTAGATCAAGCCGGTCGGGGGTTCTTGAGTCAACTTCTGCGGTGCATTGGCCGAAGTCTCGACATGGTCTTTTCCGACGGAGTACTCCGTACTTCGTACTTTATTCAATTTCTATTTTTAGACCCTCAATTTGTTATGCTCAGGGTGGGCTAACTGCTTATCTTTCTTAATGATCTTCCGCCAGGCTTCAGGCCATGTGAGGCGTAATTTGCTTTTCACGATTTGTGTGCCAATCCAACATCTTCTTTATTCTTTGGACTCCATATATATGTACCATAAACTGTTGTATTTTATCGGGAGTTTTGCCACAAAATGTCTAGTTGCTAGGATATTCAGGGGGAAACTATTTCTCGCCCCAAAGCCCCCTGAATCAGATTGGAGTGATCACAGAGTACTCCGTACGGAGTAGCACCATCATTTATCGACAGCAAGGCCGTCAACTACTCTTAGATGGCAACGGATAGCTTGAGCGGTAAATGAAAATACTAAATTGAAGGGTAGAAAGATTCAAAATGTTGTTTTGACCCTTCGCATAACTTGATTCCAGGACCCACAGTTAAACCCCGAAATCTCTTCGCACCCCTGACGCGTTGTTTTTTTATTGGGAGATTATCCATCGTGTTCACTAGGCCTCTGTCGTTCTTTTTAACCCCAGAAATCCCAGAAAATATCAAGACTTGTTTTAACCAAAAGCTCCTTGGACGCGGGGTCGTGCCTATTGGATTATATGTGACAGGATTGACAAGACTAGTACTGTTTCACCCCGTACCAAGACATCATGGATCCCTCTACATACACAGATCCCCAGCTCACCTACCAAGATCGGCTGGTGATCAACGCTATCGTTGAGCCTCAGCCCAGTTCAAATGGTATTGCTCCTGCATTGTCGATCAAATACGAAGCTAACCACTATCCAGATAAAACAAGTGCACATCCATTGAACAAGCTGAGCACTGAAGAAACAGTCCAAAAGCTTCTCAGTCTCAACGATCCTTCTCATGTAGAGTTTGATCCCACCGTCTCCCAATTCTGGGATACCCCGTTGCTGCGGGCCAAGCTACCCGCCCCCCTCCAGAAGTACGTGCTTACGCCATACATCAACTGGGCGAAGGGCATCGTGCGATACCAGACCGACGTGGTCATGGTAACACACCTTATTCTTTACTTCACTACTATTGTTCCAAGTGCTGCATACCTGTATTACCAATTCTCTTACCTCCACGGTGCCTTGCACTGGCTTATGCAAGGGTTTTACTGCGGCGCTTTCACGCTGATGAAGCACCAGCACATCCACATGAATGGAGTTCTGAATTCTAAGTTATATCTGTTCGACACAGCTTTCCCATACCTGCTGGACCCCATGCACGGACATACGTGGAACTCTTACTATTACCATCACATCAAGCACCACCACGTTGAGGGCAACGGTGGGGGTGATCTGAGTTCAACAATGTACTACGACCGCGACAGCATCCCCGACTTCCTGACCTATGTGGGCCGATTTATCTTCTTCGTCTGGCTGGAACTCCCAATGTACTTTTGGAGAAAGGGGCAGTTCAAGTATGCAGTCAAATGCGCTTTCTGGGAGATCGGCAACTACGTTGCCATTTACATGCTCTACAGCTATGTCAATGCCCGTGCTACCACGTTTGTGTTCATTCTTCCGCTCACCGTGATGCGCTTGGGCTTAATGGTCGGAAACTGGGGCCAGCATGCTCTTGTGGATCCGGCCGACCCTGACTCGGATTACCTGTCCAGTATCACACTGATTGATGTTCCGGTGAGTTTCCATCGATCTGACGAACGTGTAGAACCAACACTGACACATACCAGAGTAACCGATTCTCTTTCAATGATGGCTACCACACTTCTCACCACCTAAACCCGCGCCGCCACTGGAGAGATCACCCGGTCGCTTTCCTCAAGCAGAAGGACCAATATGCCAAGGAAAATGCCCTGGTCTTCCGAAATGTCGATTACATTTTCATCACTGTGAATCTACTCCGGAAGAACTATGAACACCTGGCTAAATGTATGATCCCTATTGGTGATCAAGTCAAATGGACCATGGAAGAGCGAGTGGCGATGCTCCGTCGTCGGACGCGAAAGTTCCCGAAACCGTCTTCGAAAATGAGTCTATAAAAAAGGCCTTGTCGATAGAGAAGGTTGTTCTAAGTTGCTCATTTACCGTATACACAAAATAGTTCAACCAGAAATCTCGTTTAATTGCCAAGACTTAAGATCGACAGCACTTTCTCGTTTCCTCAGAGGATCAAGCTTTGCAATTTTCCTCTATCAAGTGCTTTAAGGAGCACTGGAAGTCCTGCTATCGTGGTACCATATCAACACGGTGCTATTTAAAATCGTCTGAACAATGACGCTTCTCCACGATTCATCTTTACTCCGGCTAAACAAGAACATCTGTCTTTTTCACAGTCGCGGGACTGGTGATGACTGGATCTCGCGAGCTACAGGGGAGACCAACGCTGCAATATATGGCCATTATTCAATTAGCACTATTGAACTGGATTGCTGCGGAAATCCAGCGTCTCTCCCTTTCCGCTTTTAGGTCTAACTTGGCGCCGCTTTTTGCTCACTGAGCGGCCCGGAGCTTGGGGGGAGCATAGAAGTGCGTGTCCTAAGCAATCCCTAAGCGATCCTGGATTGCTCTGGGAGTAAACACTCGAGAAAGTGACCGTTAGACCTGGCAGTGACCCTCCGGGTGGTCCATGATCTTGGACCCTCCACGACCCTTGGATGTACAAATCTCGAGCGCTAAGCCTAATTAAGGTAGATAAGACTACCTATATGTCTTGATAAAACATAGTTATTTATATAGATTTTATCCACTAGATAATAATTACTAACTAATAACTATTTAAGTTATTAAATATACTAAAATTATTTAAATATTTTAAATTCTAAAGATAGTTTTTTTACTTATATAAATTTTTGGTACTATAAAACTATAGGGAAGAAGTAGTTAGTCTATATAATAGTAGAAATGTATTTTATAGATATATATCTATATGTATAATATTATTCAAAAAGAAATATTTTTTTTCTATACTTTATGTCAGGGTGCGGGCTGGCAGGACGGTATGATAGGAGATGACTGGTAGGAACAGTTCGTAACAGATCAGATTCCACTTGACAGGTACAGGCAGGGGCAGGCTATTATACAAGACGTAGCTCGAAGAGCTACAACAGGATTTAGAACTGAAGTTCAGATAAACAGGTCGGAGATCACGTGCCGTGATCTTCCTCTAACTAAGCATCACGGTTCGCACCGTGACAATTCTAGTAAAATATATAATATACTCTAGTTTCCTAGGTTATATTAATAGCGTGGTATGTCTTTTTGCTTAATTTTAGATAAACATTTAGCGAGTCCGATAATACCTATATTCTTCCACTGGTAGATGGTCTCGACGGAAAGGAGGTTCGTCCTGGGGTCGGTGGTCTTAGAAAAGCTCAACGCGACGGTGATAGTGTGGCCTGGCTACTTCCACTTCTCTTTCCCTTATTCACAAGCATAGCGGCTTTATTTTATGAAATCTCTTTGGTGGTACCTAGGAAAGATGCGTTGGCCGAAGAGTAAATAAGGAAATAGCACTGCAGGGTAGACTTCCGCAAAGCTCGAAAAGCCCGAAACCCGACCCTTTTGAGGGTCGTCTACCCTGCAGGGCTGTAGGCAAATTTGAGCCAATTAATTTTAGTAATTTTATCCATTCCATTTAAAATGGCAGAAAAACATGCAATTGATTGAAAATGAGTCAGACTCGACAACGACACCTTAAAATGGAGATCATTAGGAGTTCGAGAACAAACGGACTCAACCGCTCGCAAAACTTCAAATCGAAGCCGCAAAGATCTTACTACTACTGGCCAGAGTAAATCACAGAAAGAGGCCAAGAGGTATCGAATCACTCCACAGGCTGGAGATCGGATGAAAAAAAAGAAGATAAGGAAACAACATCATAATGAAGAAAAAAGCAACAAATTGCTACCAGTTACTGGTTCTTCTTGAGATCGGCATGGCGAGATCAATCTTATCGTATAGATGATAAGATCACCCTGTCCAGTAAAGTGGGCAGTTTCACAGCATCATGAGCATGGAAAGAGCGACGGTGAGGATGACACCGAGGAAGCCAGTCACATTGGCACGTGGGGATGCACCGGTAAAGACCGGGGATACGCCCTCGGAGTTGTTGGTGGGCACTGCGGGTGTGTTCGTGGCAGCAGTTGCGACGGTAGACGCAGCAGTGCGCGAGGGCAAGGGGCGGAAGACAACGCTAGACGACGGTCTACCGGCGTGGAATCCTTCGGCTCCATTGCTAGGAGTGGGCTTGGTGGAAGAAGAGGGCACCACGGGTGCAACACCAGGCACTTTAACTTCGCCCGTAGAGCCAGAGCCAGAGCTGGAACCGGAGCCGGGGTTGGACGCGGAGCCAGAGCCGGAACTATTTCCAGAAGAGCCAGTGCCAGAGCTGGAGCTGGAGCTGGAGCTGGGGTTGGAGGCGGAGCCAGAGCCTGGTGTAGAGCCAGAGCCAGGAACAGTGGCAGTGGCAGTGGCAGTGGGAGCCGGGATGGTGAGGGTGACAGTGCTACCGGTGGGACCACAATGCTTGCAGAAAGTCTCGGTGGTAGTGAAGCCCTCAGGCACCGAAGAGACAGTGGGCTGCGACACAACCTCGGTGGTGGTGGCAGTGGCAACGGGCTTGGTGAGGGTCACAGTCGTCGGAGTAGCAGCGCAGTGGGTGCAAACAGTCACAGTCGTAGTCCAGCCTTCTGGGATCGAGGCAGTGGAAGTGGCAGGGCCAGAAGTAGGAGCAGTCATCTCGGCGGCGCCGGTTGGGGTAGCGGTGGCGGAGTTACCAGGGCACCATGTCTTGGTAATGGTGGTGGTGATGGTGGTAAAGCCAGCTGGGCAAATGTCAACGTAGGAGGTCACGATGATAGTTGTCGTGGTACCCGGAGTTAAAGAGGAAGGCAAGCCAGTCACGGAGGGAGTTGTGGTGATTCCAGCGGGAGCTGTGGTGGGTTCGCTACCAGTAGGGTTGGAGCCGCCAGTAGTTTTGACACCGCTAGGCTTGGAACTGCCGATAATGTTGCCGCTGGTAGGTTTGGAACTTCCAGAAGTCTCGTCGCTGGAAGACGGGATACCGGTCGGGATTACACCTTCCCCAGTGAAAGAGGCGCCAGAATCAGTCGTAGAAGAGTCAAAGGCAGTGCTGGAAGAGTGGCCTGAGAACAGAGGAGTGGCGCTTGGAACCGTGTGGGTATCAGTGTGGGCGTGGGTGTGTGTGTGGGAGCCATGTCCATGTCCATGTCCATGGCCGTGTCCATGGCCGTGCGAGCCGTGGGACGGCTTTCCAGTGGTGGAGGGTTGGGGAACGGGGTTCCCCGATGGAGCTGAACCCCCAGGTGTGACGGAGCTGCTAGAGATGCTTGCAGAGGAAGTCTCGGCGGAGATAACAGGTGTGCTAGAAGAGGCCACCGAGCTAGAAGAGGCTGCGGGCCGAGAAGAGGCTGCAGGGCTGGAAGAGGCCACCGAGCTGGAAGAGGCCACCGAGCTGGAAGAGGCCACCGAGCTGGAAGAGGCCACCGAGCTGGAAGAGGCCACCGAGCTGGAAGAGGCCACCGAGCTGGAAGAGGCCACCGAGCTGGAAGAGGCCACCGAGCTGGAAGAGGCCACCGAGCTGGAAGAGGCCACCGAGCTGGAAGAGGCCACCGAGCTGGAAGAGGCACCGAGCTGGAAGAGGCCACCGAGCTGGAAGAGGCCACCGAGCTGGAAGAAGAGACCGCCGTGGAAGTGGTAGAAGGCGGGGCAGGGGGAGGAGGAGCACAATCGTACAGGATATCCTTAATGTGCTCAGTGTATGGTGTCCCGTCAATGAGGTTGTTGTCGCCGGCTGTGGCCTCCCAGAGCATGACGCCACCGAAATGCTTGGGGTGCTTGTCCATGTACGTCTTGACAAGGGGCTGTACCTCGTCAGGGGTCAGATAGAATCCAGGTCTAGCGGCACTTTCGGATGCAGGAAGACCGATGAATAGCTTCGCATTGGGGTTGACACTCTTCTCGATGACACCGACCCAGTCATCGAAGTTAAACTTGCCGGTGCCGTGGACATAGTCTGCAGCAGAGCACCCCTGGGTATTGTAAAACTGAACCCAGAGGAAATCGAAGTGCGACTTGGTTAAAGCGTCGCTTAGCTGAGCATCAGGAATGGGGCACTGGGGCGCGCCGGAGATGTAGTAGGTTTGTTCGGTGCTCGTGCTGAAATGCAAACGCAGACGATTGATCATTGCAGCGTATCCTAGGTTAGGGTTATTAGAGGGAGTACATTGGGAGAGTTAGAGCGTCAGGGAAACATACCAACTCCACCGTTGTACTCGATATCAAAATCGAATCCATCGACCGAGGAAGTGAGGAATGGGCGTGGGTAGATCAGACCAAGCATGTTCTCGGTCCAACCCAATGAAGAAATTGATTGATTATAAGGACCGAAGGAGTACCACAAGAAATCCGCAAACCATTCACCGGTGGCGTCGTCTGGGAGAGACTCGGTTGTGGCACTACCACCACCGATGGACAGCAGGAGCGTCTTGCCAGCCGCCTTGCAACTGGGGATATCCTGCCAAATCTGGTGGCAGCCACTAAGCAGTCCTGTACCGGAGAAAAAGGAACCATCACACTGATTGGCAAAGTTGGAACCAGGATAGTCGCCCACATGTTTGGGGAATTGATTGATAAACCCGATGTTGATGATGTCCGACGTGGTCTGTTCACAGAAATGCTTGAGCCGGGGTTGGTCGTAGCCTTGTCCGTAGTAGACGGCAACATTATTCTTCAGGCTGGCATCGAGAGCAACAGCAGAGGATACAAAGAGTGACAGGACTGACACGGCGGCAAAAGATTTGAACATCATGGCTAAAAGTGAATGTAGTAGTTATACGCAATAATTAGATGCAACACAAATCGCTGCTTGACCCGATAAAACGAATGACAGGTTAGCCCGCGAGCAACGAGAGGACGCAGACAAATATCTGCTCGGGAAATTTCCCAAAGGGCTCAAAATAAGAGTGTTGATGGTCGAAAGGGAATGCAACTCTCTGGGGGACAAGAGACTGAAATACATTGAGTGCCGGCAGGGGGCTGTCCATCTCCGCCCCCTGGGGATGATGCCGACCTCCGACATGGTGCGTGCTAATCGAAAAGGGGAATCGAGCTATAAAAGCGCGGAAATAAACCACTCCACCGGTGCAGGGACACCCAACGCAGAATCGCAGGGTGGGTTCAAAGCTTGGTTGTTTGAACACCAGTTAGACCCAGGGGCCAACAAATTGTTGTCACAACTGAATAGATCCTCTGACAAACTCAGCGTGAATGCGTGATGAACTGGCTTTTCCACTGGTGACAGACTCAACGCATGGTACGACATGACCAACCTACAGTCAGTGGCGTAAAAAGGGTCATATCCGAGCATGGAATGGATCAGACATCTATCATGATAGGCTTTTTTGGGAGAGGGGTATGTGCTGGCCCTACGCCTATTTCGGCCCATTTCGGCGCAGTAAAATTGCAAGAGCCGCATAAAAGAGGCTAAAAGACCCCAAGGGACTCTAGCCGCATTGGCATCGGGGTCATGACTGGAGCAAAAGCCATTAGCTTGAGGAACAAAATCCAATCAATGGACGTCGTTTAGGCACTAGGGCACGGATACCTCGGGGTCCACCAGCCATTGCATGTCGTCGGATGTAGAATACTAACTTCAAGAGTTAGATAGCATATAGATGAAGGTAAGACTGGGGAAAGATTTGAATTGACAATTTGCATCAACTAGAACAAGAGCGAATATGACTGGTTCAAATGATAAATCGTCCGAGGTTCAAGAATGGATTCCACATCAAGAAGAACCGATGGAGCTAAAACTTAGGCCTGCGCTAAGCCCTCGGGGGCCAATGTGTGGAGCAGAGCTCTTCCAAAAGTCACCGATGAGAGGGGTCAATCCAGGAGTAAGCCAGATCATCGTTTTCATTCGATTACAGCGATTGCACCTACACCATACGGCAGTTTAAGATTGGTGTCTCACTTGATTTCCACTAGATCTCTGGATCGCCGGATCGCTGGATCGCCTTTAGTCCCTATTTTGTTGACCTAACGAACTTAAAATGCGATGTAACTCTCTTAGACAGAGCGTGAAGTACTTTTGGGGACACTGTACACGTTCTAGCCCCCAAAACTCTTGTCTTTTCCGGTTTAATGCAAGGCACTACCCATGTGTACCTCGGAGATATACCCGCTCTAGGATTTTTAGGCGACAATAACGCCACTCATCATTCATCTTCCTGGGTTCTTGCCTGTTAGTGAAGTGCTAGCCAATCTTGGAAGTGCGCGATTTACAGATCGCGTATGATGACTTGTGAAATGAAGCCAAAAACGCGAGGAGTCACCGCCTTGACCGCCTCCCTGTACCACTATTCTGCCTAGGTGCACCACCATTTGTCGCCGGTCCGGTCGAGCACTCACAATGTGCCTATCTTTCCCCTCTCTCTCTCTCTCGTTCCCATCCGCATTGTCCGACCCTTCAAGCTGAACTTGGATTTTCGTAATTCAGACCTTAGGCTCCAAATTCTAAGCCACTATCTATGCCCGACCGTCTCTGCAGTTCATTTCAGCCCAGCAAGCACTAAACGTATACAGACAAAAGTCATTAAACTTTGTTAGCAGAAGTGAGTCTTTACTCCGTCAAACATATAAGCTGAAACTTTCTAGCCTTCTACTCTAGGAGGATTAAACAACTTCATGGAATTTCTTCAACCGGACATTGAGCACCTCACAGAATAAGCTTCGTAACTTGTGTAAAAATTGCTAGTTAACCGCCATATTAGTTATTATTTAAGCTATGCGCCTGCTTCTATTGATCCATGCCAAGATACGCCCATAGACACTAAGATCGTGGCCAGCTCATTAAGGCGTAAACTCTGCTAAATGAATAGATCGAGTAAAATTTGCCGACAAAGGTACTAGACTGATTCTATAGTTCTTTGATCTGGAAGTCTCTATATTGTCTTTTGATGAGACTGCTCGAATGGTGCTCTCTAAAAGTGACGACTGGCCCGGAGAGGGAAAAAGTTCCTGAGGATCAATCCAAAACTGGTTGACTAATTAGCCCTTGCCTTTGTTGCCCAAATTGCAAATCCTTGCAACCGACAGTGTGATCCCAGAGTCTGCCATACTCATGTATGTTGTGGTTGGAACCTTACACATATGCCACTACAGCTGAGCTAATTCTAAGAGTTGACTTGGTTATTATCATTTGCTACAATGGGTAGCTGCTCGGCATAGTGGCCAATAACGACCTCCGAGCTTCAAGTTGTCGATTAACAGAGACATGAAAGCCTAATAGTTGGCCAAAAAAAAAAGCTGTGCAGAGTCCGTTTACCTTCTGATGTGGTGCTCAAATCCCACATAGCAAGAGAGCCCAGCGACACCGGGATGGCACGTTCGTCTAATGAACCTCCGATGCCCTTCGAAAAGATGGTGGGTAAAGCAGCGGTAAGTTCATAAGCATCCAACCAATCATCGATTAATACAACCTGAGCAGGAGTTGTGTAGGAAATTGCTGGAATCTGTTGGCCGGTAATGGAACGTCTGTATACCACGTTGGAACTTTCTACCCCGCATTGTTCGGGCGGCTGCGATCTGCTAGTGACCGCATCCAGTAAGGAGTGTAGCATGCGCATCTCAGGGTTCTGGCGTTCTCCGTTGATTTCAGTGGGGAAAGAGCCTGCTGAGAAGTGTCTACCATCACCAGGGTGAGAGGCTTGATCCTATGCTGTTTCGTCATCTACTGCTTCGCCTTGCACTGTATGGGGAATTTTTCGTAATAACCGTGCGCTAGGTTGACCGCATATCCGTCACGTTCACAGTAGCTGGCTCGTCAAGTCAGACAGTATTATCCTACAGCTCGAGCGAAATGAAAACATCATTCCAGGCATCTATTGTTGTTTAATTGTTGGTTAATCCACAACATAGACGATGACTTCATACGAGATAACACAAAGCCGATAGAACCTTGTATTTCCGAATAAGTAAGTATAGTCTTAGGTCCGCGTTTGGTAGAGGTAGGTTTCCTATCCAAAAAAGGATCATGTTGTTGTCCAACCTTAATTCCACACTTGGTAGAAATTAAAGCAGCGAACCCTAAGTCCTGTAGGATGGTAACAAAAGACCTCCTAGCGCAGGGTGGCTGATTGAAGATAAGTGGCCGCCTAGACGCGATTTCATAATGAGTCCTAGCGGGTGACATCTTGCAATGGCATACTGTTCAGCCCCAGTGAATCTTCCAGGACAGAAGAGTAACTCTGGCCGAGAGTAAAATTGACCGAACTTTTCGGGGAGAACTTGGGGATGGCCGCTAGACTGAGCGCTCTATTACTGGAAGTGCACAGACTCCAAGACCGCTTATATCGGCCGCAGGGATCAAGAACACCACCCAGAGGAAGAAGCACAACATCGTCATCATCCACTTACTATAAATCAGTGCGTAATAGAAATCCACCGTATGAACTACACAGAGATGCTTTCGCTGCGGTTGAAGTCTTCTCGCCGCATCCAGAAGATCTAGAAACGGTTCTTCATGTATCAGAGGATGGTTAATCCCGAGGAATGATTATGAAGCAGCTACGTTGTAGTCGAAATTTTTACCAAAAAAAAGGGCGTAGCGTAAAGCATTGTGGGCGGTTATGCTTCAAGCACTCTATGCCTGAGGCCGTCTGGTCGTGTCCCAGTAGGGTTAGAAATTTGGGGAGCAGAAAAGCCATCTTATAGATCACCATCAAATTGCAGAAAAGAGCCTTTCTGGCACGGTGGGCTTTCCGGCAGATGGGAACTATTTTGTATAGAGGCGACAGTGTAGGCCGTGAGCAGCAGGAGCATAACACAGTATGCGTAAGAGGGGCGACATAGACATGAAGCAGAATTAAGTTACATAAGCTAGAGAGGCCGCTGCAACCGTGCCAAGCGCCTAACAAGGTGTGTTGGGCCCTTGGCACGATTAACCCCTACAGACGCAGTTGTAGCTTGAAGAATCTTTCAATTTACTGCACGGCAGGGTTATCGACGTATAGGATATGAAAGCAGATGAGCCTTTGAAAACACATAAACTATGATGATCTGTGATAATAGAAGGTTTAGGAAAGCACAGGGCAGTGGAAAAAAAAAGCCATATAGGGAACGGGAAAATAACGAACAGCAAGAGCGAAAAAGAAGATTAGGAATTAAACAACCACAGGGGCACCACGTGAATTGGCAAATACCAATGAGGGTGAAGCATGGCACGAAATTTGGCGGTCCGCGAGTATTTCCAAGGTTCTCTCGCAGGGACTCATTAAAGTCAGCCTCGCGCAAGCCCGGACCTACGGTTCGCAGCCCCTTGCACGGATGTGGTAAGTGGATACTCTCAATTTTTATTATTACCAGGCTCACTTTACAATCTTGGTCAAAAATTGTATTAACTCACATGCCATTGACAATTTACAAGTGCCTGCTCCATAATTTTTAAAGGGTGTTAATCTAATTTAATGTATCATACCAAAAGCCACATAAATTCAGTTCAAAATATCAATGGCAAGTAGTATAAAGGATGTTCAGTCCGTAGTGTTATACTAGTATATACGTACTGTACCCTGTGCTACTTAAAGCAGATGATTTGATCAGTCAGTGCTCCATAGATGTAGTTAATTGATTTTTGGCCCTAGTCTCTAGTCTAGTTGTGAATAGAAAAGCTATGCACATAGTTTATGCTCTTTATCACCTTCTAGGCCTAAAAAGACTGCTAGAAAGAATGCTAAGTACTAAAAGGTCCATGTATCAAACCACTGAAAGGCCGCAACCGACTAATTCTTACATAAAAATAAGAGAGAAGATTGAAATGAGAACTCAGTACTCCGTACGGAGTGCTTTGGCAAGGCGGTGATGAAAATGGCGGTCAGCCAATATCCAATGAGAGCGCTGTGTCTAAGTGGCACAGTTAGTCAAAACGCTTCATGCTGTTCCATCATTTCAGGGCATTTTTTCACCGTTGCATTTGGTCGTTCATCAACAGCATTCCTGTCTTCAAACGGTGTATTTACCCTCTGTGCTTACCTAATTACCTGATAGAAAGCCAGGTGCTCAATGACATGGTAGGACTCTGACTTGAATGACAATGGGTTGGAGGTTCACTAGCAAATCTGACTAATCTCAACACGCGTGGGGTCCATGAAGTGGCGGTACGATTTTCTGAGTTTTCAATATCCACTAGGGCTGTTCTCAACCATTCACGGAGTATTGCACCATGGTACCGGAGTATTCAACGCCTCAACGCAATTCAGCAGTCACACACTGAAAGGAGTGGGATTTGATGATCTGCCAGATGAATGGAAGCGGTGGAGCGGATAGGATGTGCCGCCCAACTTCAAATAGCAGAGACATTAATAATCATGCCACCGATTTCAAGGAATTCTCTATCCCATTCGTAGAGATCGGTATCCTCTATGTTGTACGGAGCATTCCGCACGCACTTGCCATGTGTTTTGCGGCCCACTTAGTGGGGTGGACCACTCGGTAGTGAAATGCGTTATCTCTGCACTTACTGCTTGCGTTATAATTTGTATTCCCACTATCGATAACCCTGCTTTCCATTTTGCGAGTGAGACCCTAACGTTCCTAGGATCATAGCTCCCAGATACGAACTGAGTCACTTTCAGGAGTCAAATTATAATAGCGTAGTGCCAAATCTGAAGATTCTGGCAGAATACATATTCTCCCCGGGGTGGGCAATGGCTTCTAAGGTTCCTTCCAAGATCCAGCACACATTAATCGCTATCGTGGGTCGAGCTAACACAAGAAACCAACAGGTTTGGTGCGCCACATGGGTGCCATGTGCTTGCACTCCACATGGTCTGACATGATTGGACGAGACATATAAGACAGCTTGATGCCCTTTTAGGTCAGAATCAATCCCGGCATGGCTCCACAGACGCACGTTGCCGCATTGCCCACCGCTTAAGTGCTCGTCTCCCACCGTTGTCGTCAACGATCATCTTCTTTTTTTCTCCGTCCCTCTTCGCGATCATGAGTTTCTTCCTTCGCACCTTGAGCCTGACGGCTACGGCTATGGCTTTGGTGGTGCCACAGTCCCATGTATGCCGATCCCCACCTACTTCTCCCAGCGTCACCATCGCGCAAGGTGTCATCAACGGCTTTTCCCAGAATGATACCTCGGTCTTTCTAGGCATTCCCTTTGCCGAGACTACTGCTGGCGAGAACCGCTGGAAGGCCCCTAAGCCCGTCGGCTCGTTCCCCAATGGTCACTTGGAGGCCACTGCATATGGACCATCCTGTGCCCAGGCAATGTCTGGCACGGCAATCACCCACCAGAGTGAGGATTGCCTCAACCTCAACATTTGGACCCCAGGCCAGGGTGTCAATCTTCCTGTGTTTGTTTACATCTATGGTGGTGCCATGGTCACCGGCGGCAGCAGCAACGCCCAATGGCAAGGGTACAACTTTGCCCGTAATGATGTCATCTACGTGAACTTCAATTACCGCGAGAGCATCTATGCCTCGCCCAATGCGCCTGAGCTGCAGGGAGAGTCCCAGAACTTTGGAATCATGGACGTGGAGCTGGCCTTGGAGTGGATTCACAACAACATTGAGGGTGGGTTTTTCTTTTTCTTGAGCCACCTTGGAGCCTTCAACTAATCTAATCGGCAGCTTTCGGTGGTGACAAGTCGCGCATCGTGCTGGGTGGCCATTCATCTGGCGGAGTGCACGTTGATCACTATCTGTGGAATCACCCCGATACCTTCCTGGCCGGTGCGATCGAGATGTCTGCTAACGCCGAATCTGGTCCTGCCTATGCACCCGCCGGTGTCGCGCTGAAGCAGGTGGTTCAGGATATGCTGGATGCCGGCGTGACTCTGGGCTGCACGGCTGAAGACTACAGTCTGGAGTGCCTGCGTGCGGCGGATACTTACGCCTTCCAGACGAGCTACTTCAACTCGACCTCTAACACCTGGTTCTCACCGTCGGTGGACGAGATCACCCGCTTCTCCAACTACGCCGACCGCTTCGCTAAGGGTTCCTACCCAAAATCGCTGCCGATGATCGTCGGCAACTCCGACCAGGAGGGCGAGATCTTCGGCTACGTTTATGGCAGCGAGAACACCAACTTTTCATCCTGGATTCGCACTTTTGATGCCGACATTGCCTTCGTGCCCACGGACCAGCTCCTGGCCGCCTACAACGAAGCTGACTACGCCTCGGTTTCCCTGATGAGCGGTGCCTCTTACGGCGACGCACGCTTCCTCTGCGCGACTGACGCCCTGTTGGACTTGCGCGCCGCCGAGCAACCCACCTGGATCTACCGCTGGTTCGGCGACTACTCGAATGTCCTGCCGATCCCCAATCTCGGGCCCTCGCACGGCAGCGAGGTGCCCTTCTTCCATGGTGGCAATGAGTGCTTCTCGCTGCTGGATGGCGTGACCGATGCGGAGCAGCAGCTGGCGGACTACCTGCACGCCCGCTTTGTCGCCTTCATCAAGAACCCCAGCGCTGGGCCTGGCTGGGAGAAGGCCCAACCTGTGAATGGTCCTCTGGCACGCTTGGGTGTTCCTGGGCATGAGGAGGAGACCGTGGTGAGCACGACTGGCGCGTATAACGGTCGCTGCCAAAAGGTCTACAAGCCCAACTACCCCAAGTACCCCGTGGTGCAGAACCCTGTTTTGCTGGCCGGGAGTGTCTGAGAAAACGTCCCACGAACCACTTCAGCCTGGTCTTCCAAGGTTGATTTGTATGATGAAAAATGAAATCTAGAATTATGTGTATATAATTTCAATCGAGACATGAACATCACCGAATGACCCTAATGCAGGTACTACCATGGCTCGAGAACGCCCCCCAAGGCCAAAATCCTGCGAACGGCATTGCAAGTGCATCGGCCCCCACAGTGGAGATCGTATTTGTGCTGCGTGGCAAATCAAACTTCTCTCTCGGCTTTTCCCGGAACACGGGTCGGGGGGGGGGGGGGGGGGGGGGTTTAAAGTCGTCGACAGAGCGCAGAAGTGGCACGTTCTCCCTTTCCCCCACTGCGGATCTAGAAAAATAAATCATTTTCGCACTCGGCTTGCTTGTGCAATCGATAGTACGGCATATCGCGTGATGTTGCTAGCCGCAGACCACTGGCTTTGAAATAGAATTGAGTTATATAAGTCCCGAAAGGGGAATCTCCAAACGCGCGGATTTCCCAGGACTCGCCCAAATTAACCGGTTGACTCGGAATTCATCCGAACCAACCCAATTCTGGAATGCAACTTTGGAACTTTCCAAGGTTCCCACCTGGGCAAGCTTTGGAATGAATCTAGCCTTTCTTTGGTTGAAGAGCCGATCCATGGGTCACTCAGTGGAGCACTAAGTTAGGGTCGATTGTAAAATTCCCGTCTAATACAGTAATTATCGATGTCCACCCCCTCTATTCAAAGCATAGATGTAATCTTACCCTAGAAAGATACCACCTATCTTATACAAGGTGATTCGTACAACCCTTCGGTCTACTAAGTTTAACCTGTTCGATAATCTGTGCTAGGGCCTCCTAAGGCAGTGGGCCTTGAAAAAAGTGTTTCAGTGCCTTCCTCTCAATTTCGGGTTGTAGATGTCCATAAGACAATTTATAACACTAGACAGCCGGCACATTATTATTTCATGCTCGTCTTGCCTTGCCACCCCCCCTCTCTCTCTGCGGTTTATGACTGGGACAGAGGCAAGTCAACATGACGCGCCCGGATCTAGGACAAGTGGTATGCTATGTTTTTCTCAAATCATCACCACATCCTTGCCTCCTGCTAGCTTGCTAACGGGGTTTCTGTTGTGCAGGTGGCTTGGTATGTCTGCACAGTGGCGGCATGCGCCTTCCTGGCCTGTCGCGTTGTGGTCCGCCTGCGGCTCCTGAAGCGACTTTACCTCGACGACCTGTTCGTGTGTCTGGCTGCCATGTGTCTAATCGGGGATCTGGCAATTCAACATTACATGTTCGGCCAGGGTAGGTTTTTCAAGTATTGAAAAGAGCGAAGAAGAAAATTCGAGAGGACTGCACTGACGATTGCGGGCACAGGCATGTCTGAAATGGCCAATTCTACCTTGCAGGAGAAGATTAATATGACGAAGGTAAAAGACTGCCTGAGATGGGAAATAGGTACAATCACGTTGGTATTAATGCCCGATTTATCCAGATGATCATTCCCGGCTCCATCTTATACGTCACTTCGCTGTGGCTGATCAAGTCAAGCATGGTGATCTTCTACAAGCGCCTGGCAGATCGCACCCAGTACCAGATTGTGTATAATATCACACTCTGTATCCTGGCTGCGACCTGGCTAGTGGTGTTTTTTGACATTATCTTCAAGTGCTATCCGCCCCGGCGGCAGTGGGAGGGGATTACTAATGCCGAGTGTGAGGATGCTTCCATGTCAACCACAGATGCAGGGACTAACGCTCTTTCAGTGACATGTCCCAAAGGACCGTCCACAGTCAACTTCTGGATCACGATCTTCTGTAAGGAAGTCTTTCTTGTTGAACTTGGATTATCAACTAACCCTCTTTGCAGTCAACATCTTCACTGATGTCTTCAGTAAGGGTTCCAGCTCAATTCATCTCCATCGCTCCATTTAACATAATTTACCCAGTTATCTGCCTCCCCATTGCGCAAGTTGTGCGACTCAAGATGCCCACGAGACAAAAATGGGGTGTCATCTCTGTCTTCCTCCTGGGTGTACTTGTAGTCATCACTAGCAGTATGTTACCCCTCCATTTTCTCCTCTCGTCTCATTCCCACAACTAAACCACAATGTACTCAGTTATCCGAGCGATCTACTCCCACCGCAACGAACAAATGATCACCTGCACCGTCTCCATGGTCGAAACCGCCATCGCCATCATTACTTCGTGTCTCCCCGTTCTCCGCACCCTGGTATTCGGCTCGCACTCTCGCACCGGAACCTACAGCGGCCACCGCGGCTACGAGCTCTCGCACTCTGGTGTGCACACCGGTGCCCAGGCCAGCAAGCAACACACTACCGTGTCCACCTCACAAAGTCACATTGACCGCGGCGTAGATGACATTTCGTTCCACGACTCCGACGATGGATTGGTTAAGGATCCGGCACCAGTTCCTGGACCAGGAATAGCTGTCAGGACCGATTATTTCGTGCATGAGGATCGTGTTTAAGGATGCATGGAATCTCCATGAGGCTAGCGCGGAAAGCGTTCCCCCTGTCGATTGTGCACATCCCCACCACATGCTTATATTTATTTAAACTAATTATTTTGATGTGTACGACGCCCAATATTATTATGGCCCTAAAAGGGTATCCAACACGGGATCTATAGACTTACCACTGAAATATGCCGAGCCTTATTTGTAATTTATGGTGTAAGAGCCATTTTCCGACTCCCAATTGAATGAGGGGCACGCCTTCAGTTTCGAAATCTTAGTTCAATGTCTTGGCCCTCGGCTCATATACCCGAAGAGACCGTTAGCCGTGATAGCTCGGTTTTGGACAATCTTTGTGGGTCTTCCGGGAATAATGGCATTTAAAAGGAAAGGACGCTAAGCCGTGATGATGTGAGACTGCCAGCGCGATGTAAAAGGGAAGTGAACGCCCAGTACGGAGAACTCCGCAGGTGCAGTCCAATTTCTACTGTTCTCTCTAGTTTGAACGAGTGGCCGAGCGAAACGTCACATATGATACGAAGGGGTGCGGCAGGATGGTGACAATGCTCGCAGTTAGTGCGAGTCTGTAGGCCCTCAAAGGGGGCTGGATTATACACATTTGAGCATAGGCATGCAATTTCTTATCCCGTGGCTCCCACTTGATCATACCTAGTATTACAAAACCTAGCTATATCCCCTATTATGCAAGCGTCGCAAATAGGAATCGATCGTTCACTATGACCACAGAGTACACTCTCTAGTTTTTCCCTGGGGCCTTGAGACAGGGATCACGCAGCTAGGGAGAGAAAAGTAGCGCGTAGACCGATAGGCTAAAATCCTTAAAGCTGGCTTTAACTATCAAGTTCTTTAAGCTTATTGTACCCCGTAGATGTTTAGCTTCTAGCCGCTCCCATCGCCAGCGAATTCAACATAAGATGTGTAAAATCATAGAGGCGCTCCGGAAAAAAAGCCCTTGAAATTAAATATTAGTATTGACATGATAATAGAATCTAAGTGCTATACTTAAAACAGAAGGTCATAATATAATTTATTTAAAAGAACTAACATTTACAGAAGTGCCAGGAGATAGTCGCTTACATGCGGGTGCCTGGTTTTCCACCCCCACTCAGCAGCTTCACCCTTGCTTGCCCCAATCCTTCCACATTGGCTTCTTTTCCCCCGATCTGATTGGCACAGACACGATTTCCACCAAGCGTCGCGGCACACCTAAAGTTCAAACAGGGTGTGCCATCAACAAGTGACTTTATTGGCTAACGCTCAGTATTCTGCTTCTAAGCCAGGACCCACCGAATTAAATGCGACGTCCCGGATGTCGCCGGTGCACTTCCGCCGGACAAAGCTGCCCCGGATATCCGCAAGCCTCTCCCCACTCCTACCCAGAAATTAAGATACACAGTGTTCTATTCAAAGAACCCGGCAGTCGCGCAGACCGTGAACTACTCTATTTTTACCGTTGCGAAGCAGCCGATTCCTTACCTCGACTCTCAGATTCTGTGCTATGGACGAATCTTATCCTGCAGAGAAATTAAGACCAATCCGTTATCCACCATTCTATTGTTGCGCTTACCTCCCTACATCGCGACTTGAGGTATCCATCAAACAGATCCAGCGTATTACTAGATCGCACTCTTAGCTTCACGCATGTCTTTCCCGGGATCCTGTGGCTAAGGTTCCGTTTATCTGCAGCCTTGTATTTATTACCTTCATGTGTTTGATCGGCAATGTTCAACAAGCATTGTGGCATCTAGAGAAAGGTCTGGTTCTCCTGCGAAGGTTACGGACAGATTAACCGTCCGTAATAGATGGCCAGGAGACATGTACACAGTCAGGGTAATTTTCTCTCAGCTTGACATTCCTCTAAGCGTCTTTTCATTTGAGAGAACATCTATTCTTAGGCTTACGTCGCCGGAGCGACTCTCAGGGGTGATGTCTACGGTCCCAGAGCGGATTTTGGGTCTACCCGACCTCAAGAACTGGCTCACCGTGCTCTTAAATTGGACACTATGTCACCCAAAAGAATCTATGAATAATCAGACCTCATCCTAGGCTCCACTACCATCCATAATTACTCGGGAAAAATTGCAGCTGGAAGCTCAACTTCAGAAGTTGGAAGAAACAGTGGCGAAAATGATGATGAGTGAAAATATTCAGTCTTTTTACTTCCACTCAACACCAGGAACTCATTCTTATACGAAGCCAAAGCACTTGTCTTCCACGCAGTTGTTCCGGAAAACATCAGCTCATTTGATAGGGCTGACATCCTTCTAGAAGCAACTTACAGATTTGATATCGCTCTCACGCAAAGATCCGTACAGCTATCTCTGTCATCTAGATCTGAATCTGAATTTGGGGCTAGCATAGAAAAGAAGACCTCTTCCAATCGAGTCATCACCCTTTCGACAAATCTCATCGCGAATGTATACTTGTTTGCCCAATTACAATCGACCGCCGTATCTGCGCCCTGCATATTCTCAATACAGTAGTCTATGTGAACATCTCGCGATGGACTTTGGGATGCGCGTACTGCTGTGACTATCTTTAAAAGCAATTCTACCCGAAGATTATATAGGAAGCGAAGAGCCCGAGATGAATTTCAAACTAGAAGATAGAGGCTCTAAAATTATCGATATAGATGGTGGACTGGATGAAGCATTCAGAATGTTAAATACTTGGGCAGCATGAGATTAAAGAATTAGATACAAATATGATATCTTACTTCTTTCATGCTTTTTGATATCAGTGAAATGTTCAAGACCAAAAACCGACCGATCATAGCGCTATACTGGCTATCGCATCGTACCGAGACATAAGAAATTAGAGGCATCGAGGTATTAATCCTCGAGATGGATTATAAAAGGCACTATACAGAGAGACCATCTTCTTAGCGAACAGTTTCTCATTCTTCCCAAGGTCAAGTACAGCCCCGACGTCATTCAAAAATGGATCTTCAACAACATTCAACATCACACTACCCAGAGAAATTTCAGAGCACGAAGCTAAATTGCTAAATTAGACACGCAAAACTCGACAGAGGTCTGATAGATCGGATCGGAACCATCGTGGTAGAATGTCTGGTCACCAGGTGACAGTCCGAATTCCAGTGCTTTGACCGCGCAATCAACAACATACAAATCGAGATCAGAATAGTAAGATACCGGCGGCGAAAATAGCGCATTGATCGGCTCAACAAGCGCAGGTGGAAGGCACGAGATAAAGTTCCCAGACGCGACGATTGTTTGAAATGAAGTGGTGTTTGCGGTCAGGTTGTTCGACGATAAGCCGCAAGCGACATTGCTAAAAGTGGCTGACCAGGAAGACCTAACCTGTTCTCGGGACGTATATAACAGCGAAAATTTCTTCGTAGTCTCGACAGGGACTGTAACGAAGTGGAAACTACGGTTAACGGATGGAAGACCACCGAGCGTCAAGTACCCTCCAAAAGACGTAGATTGATTCTGCGGTATTTGTACGAGCACGAGACTGAAGTATGGATAAAAAAGGCCCTACTCGTGCATCGTGAATCGCAAAAGGTTGTACACCGGACGATCGGCCCAATAGGTGCTGTTGGATATGTGATTCGCCGGGTGCGCGGAGGTGAGAGCTGGGGGTATCCAAGGCCGAGTAACCTGCTATTCACCTCATCGCCCAAAGGGTTGGAATCATTTGAGATGCCGATCTTCTGGGTGTTGACGCTTACACCGACCGCCTATGGACACTTGTTCGTAGACCAAGAGGCCGCCCGCGCTTCCTGCGCCGTATTTTATGCCGAACATCTCGTTGGGGACACTACTACATGTCTCAGACTTGTGGTAGGTCTGGTTTGCGTAGAGACGATAATTTTGTGATTTGAGAAGGAAATTGGTGCTGTTGACGCATCTGTAGCCTGTTTGCATCACGTAGGCGTCACTGTTGCCGGTATCCACGAGGAACACGAAGCTCTGGTCCCCGAAAATAACCGGGGCATCAGAAGCAGACTCATACTGTGTTGATATGAGAGCTGATGTCGTACTCGAGGTTCTTTGGGTTGGTATATTTTGGGCGCCAGCGGGCACTATTAGGCCGGCGGCGACAGTGAGGAGATTCAAGAGTAGCATGATGGCTGATTTCTGAGGACTGTGACGATCTCTCTAGAATCCCGTACTTATCACAATCTTTATGCAATAGGTGTCCAGAAATAGGCAGCCTTGTAGCACGAATCTAGTAGCTCATTCATTTTAGCACAGAGGTTAGCGTCTTGTTGTCGCATGTTTTAGCGCTGATGTTTTCGGCCCTAACATTATGCGGCTTGAAAATTAGGCCTGCAAATTTTGGCCGTTGTGTCTCTTCGTACGCAACTCAATTGGTTGAGTAATAGTGAGTACACAATTCCGGTTGAAGTACAGGGTGGTTGAGCCCCCATACTATTTGATGCTCTCCTGTACACCTTCCACAGGCTGAGCAAAGTGATTCCATTACTGGCACTTACCCACAATGTGACTTAAAATGCGAGATGTAGCTGCGCTTGAGCTATGTGAAGCCGTTGAAGAAGGTTCCGTGTTGAGTCTCTTTTAGCTGTCGGTGTTGACATAAATGCACGGTTTGACGACCCAAATTTTGTTTTATAGGAGTCGTCAAAAACTGGGTTAGTAACTGGATTAGTGAAGAGAAAAGAGCCAGGCCTCCTATATTCAATCCCGATAAGTTGAAGAAGGAGAGAGTTGCATTGGAAAGGAGACTCGGCTCTAAGGGGCTCTGGCCTGAGGCATCAACACCCCAACATGTTTGAAATGTTTGAATCTCTATGTCACCTGATCAACCTGTAGTTCTCCTTTCCTCTCTTGCACTACACTCACTACAACATAAAACATTATGTCTCTATGATCTCATCTACTAGATAATGGATCTCAACGCAACACCATACAATGGCGAAGGTAAATACATTGCAAGAGAGGTCGTTGAACCTAAATCATCCTCCTTACACTGTAGCTCATTTCACAAATACCTCAAGTTTGCCATCATTGAGTGGAGGTAACTACCTTGGCTGCATCAGGCGATTCATTTTTTCTATCTCTGTGAAAAATCTACTTGAGAAAATGTGTCTTTGGTAAAGCGTGCACTTCGACTCCCAGAGCAACGCTAGTGTGTTAACATTTTTTGTCAAACCTCAGTTCCCGCCGTCCACCCTTCCGACCCTTTTCATCGTCAAACCCGAGACCTCCGAATTTGTTCCAGAGCCCTTCCCGCGCTCCGATCTCTTTGTTCAGAAAATCCTCAGTTTGAAGCACCTCGTTCAACTCCTTACTTAGTCATCAGAAGTGCCTAGGGTCAGCGATCTCTTCAAGCGATCACTGTACAAAGGGTCTCTAAGTAGAGAGAAACTGTTTATGATTCCTGTGGAGAAACGTGAATGGTGAGGATAAAAGGGGAAATTATCTAACTAACGACCTACAGGTTCTGTCTCATATGGAACCAAACCCTATGGGGGCCTGAGGCCATCAAACGTCTGTTCAGGACATTGCTCACACTCATCTCAACAACACATGACGTGATAAGTAGCAAAACAAGCCCCCCGCAATTTCCAATAACACACCATCATTGCGCGAAATGGCATATTTGTAGCCAATCCAGCTTGGCGCATCCAAGTCTCACGCCAGCTCCAACCAGGCTTCTTCTTCTTTTCGCCATTTAGCTGATTATTACGTGCCAGATGTACTGTGGTTGAGAGAAATGGTACCACCATTAGCCTCAGGGGTTGTACTATCTCCCCACGCAAGTCTTACCACGGCAAATTTCCTACCGGTACAGATATACCAACGTATATCTTCAACTGTACCCGATCTTTACGTGATACTTGGCCATCAGATTCACTGATTTCAACTCCGACAGAGAATTTGGAGACTGAATCATTGCAAGATGCTTTCCCCACTTAGAATGCATAAGAGTTACAGGTTAGATGCTTTTGACGAGGATTTTATACACAGACCTGGACACCGGATGACGAATTATCTTTGGATTTCTGCTTCCCATGACGCCTTCCACCTCAAGGTCCGAATTCATAGGGTCAGTCTCCTATTCGGCCCACTTCTATGGTTGTAACATTTGCCCCTCCGATGTTGAAATCGTTACGATCCACAAACAAAACATTGCCCGCACGCCAACCGTAATCGTGGGCGTGGTATTGGATAATAAATCCGCAGATGAGATAGCAAAAGGCAAAAGATTAGGTGCCTTGATATATAGAAGGCTGATGCGGCACAGATTTTTTCCCTTCCTCCAGCATAGGAACCATCAATATCAAGCAACAGTGATCTTGACACTAGTCGCCTTGTGTTTTATAGTATTTGTTTTTCACGGAGAATCTTGCCAGATATACTTGGTTTTCATAGCTCTTAACAATTGCCAGCAATGACTTGGCGGCGATCTTCCAACAAGCCCCCTGCCGCGTTCAGCACTGCGGTCGAAGGCCAGACAGGGGAGGTCACAACTACTACCGGGAGGTATATCGGCGAGACTGGAGGCAATAATGCGGCAACAACGTATCAGGACGCATCTGGCGCTCCAGTTGAACACAACTCACCATTGGGATACTCCGTCGGCCCTGTCACAATTACCTTGCTGAACATCACAATGATGATCGGCGCTGGTATCTACTCTACGCGTTAGTACCACATGACCCATGCATGTGCATAGACTCCCGCTTATATGACGAAGCATCATCTATCCTGTCCGGGACGGGCTCGGTCGGCGTCAGTTTTGTTTACTGGACCCTCGGTTACTTGGTATGTCTCGCCTGTAATGGGAAAGCAGTATCGACTAATCATGCTTGCTTTTTCCTAGATATGTCTCACGTCTGGAGCTGTGTACCTTGAGTTTACGGCATACTTCCCCAGTCGATCAGGTTCAGAAGTCGTCTTCCTCGAACAAGCCTACCCTAGTCCAAGATGGCTCTTTCCAACCACCTTTGCGGTCCAGAGTGTCATTCTTTCATTTGGAACCGCCAATGCCACAGGTGAGTGGCTGGTTGCATTTAATCACTCACAAGGCATTAATTAACAAATCACCATAGTCATGGCCAAGTATCTTATCGCCATCTCCGGGCACACCGGCACCGATTGGCAGATCAAAGGCACTGCTCTAGCTTGCTACAGTGTTGCCACATTGAGTAAGTTACTTTGGATAAATTGGTTCGTTTCAACTTGGGACACTGACAACCTACAGCGCTGGTGTTTAATACAAAATACGCGTATTGGTTCTCAAATGCTGTTGGAATTGTGAAGATTTGCACCCTTCTCTTTGTGATAGTCACTGGCTTTGTTGTTTTGGGGGGCAACACCAAAGTTGAGCACCCCAAGGCTAATTTTCAAGACGCTTGGTCAGGGAGCTCCACAGCTTCTGCATACGGATTTACTACTGCCCTGTACCGTATCATTTTCTCCTATGGTGGTTATAACAACGCCTTCAATGTTGCCAACGAGGTCAAGGTATGGCAGCTCGAGATTTACGTGGCACGGGGCTGAGACTGACATTTCTCTGATAGAATCCCGTCAAGTCACTCAAAATCTACGCCACCATCGCTCTCACGGTGGTGTACGTGTTATACATGTTTGCAAACGTCGCGTTCTTTGCTGCTGGTCAGTTGTCGATATCCCGTACTGTGCTAGTCCCACCACGCTAATTTCAAACGGTCTCACAGTTCCCAAGGAGGAGTTGGAGAACTCTGACTTGACGACGGCAAGTCTCTTCTTTAACAAGGTCTTCGGCGATAGCGGCGCAGTTCGCGGCCTCAATTTCCTCATCGCCTTGGCTTCCTTCGGTAACATGATAGCCGTGATCATTGGTCTATCCCGCCGCATCAGAGAATGCGGCCGACAGGGAGTTCTACCATGGACGACGCTCTGGGTCTCGACTAAGCCTTTCGGCACACCATTGGGTCCGTACGCCATCATTTGGGCTCTGACCGCGTTGATGATCCTAGCCATTCCTGCAGGAGATGCCTTCACTTTCGGTGTGTTTTCCTCTTCTTTTTCCCCTACCAGAAGCCGGCCGGGCGTTCTTGCAAGGCTAACACTCCACAGTCAACGATTTAAGTGTCATCCCTACAGCTGCCTTTAACCTTGCCATGGCTGTTGGCATCTACGTTGTACGGTGGCGCCGAAGGAACGCCAACCTTCCCGAGCCCGAATTCAAGGCCTGGAATTTCGTGATTCTCTTTAATATTCTCGTCCAGCTTTACCTTCTTGTTATGCCCTGGTATCCGCCAGCAGGGGGCCAGTATGCTGGCGATGTCAGCTTTTGGTATGCAACGTCTGCCGTGACGGGAATTGGAATGTAAGTCAGCCAAATTTGGCTTACACGTCTATCTGGCCCCCTCGTCTACAGGTACTAACCAAAACCCCCCTAGTCTTCTTGCCTGTGGCATTTATTACTATTTCTGGGCCTTCCTCATTCCCAAATGGAAGGGCTACAAACTGCGACAGGAACAATTGAGCCTAGATGGCGGTGTTCAGAGTAACCGGCTCAAAAAAGTCCCTAATGACGAGGTCGCAGAATGGGATGCGACACATGATGCAGCTGGCCGTATCATCGAGTCGCCAGTGGAGATTCAGGTTCAGGTAAAAGGCATCGATGTGTGATGTCAACGTGCTAGATGATTCTGCGTGTTGAGTTATTTGCATGGTTTTTATAGGGTTCGGAACGAAGAGGGAGACCTCTGTAAATACTCGGTCCCTGTTTATTCCGTTCCTTCTTAATTCTCTCTCCTTCCACGGAGTAAATAGAGCTTATACCCTAGTAGTATATCCTATGCTGTACTCAACATTCTGTCAATGTGGCTCCGCCAAGAACACGCTAATCTTTGCTAGCGTGTATTGCGTATGCTGTCTGCGCCGATGTGTAAGTTGCTTAGGAAAAATACAGTCTTCGGATGAAACAAGACATCACAATTACCAGTGCAGAAAGATCGGCAGGATCTACAACAGCCCACTCTGTCTGTGGGACACCCAGGTTGTGTAGCTCATCAATAGCTTGATGCTGATTTCAATTTAAAAAAAAAAATTTTTTAAAACCATAGGGCTCTTACCTTTCAATTGAACGGATAGCAGAGGCTGCCGAACATCACTAAGCCTATCATCTGGCTGGCATACTAGGACTTAGTAAAGTCAGGGAATTTTTGTAGAAGAGAGCAATTCGAGGAAGTCGACCAGTTCGACATCATTTAACTTGTACAACAGTCTACCCTATAAAGATTCACCACCTCCACAGTGGCGGTGTAGAGATCTGCAAAATTTAGTCCTAATGAAATTTAGT